GTTACACACGTCTTCACTGCTGAAGGTTCAGGGAGCCAGACGACGACGGCGGAGGAGGTGGCGGGGGATCTTCCATAGCTAATAAGCGCGGGGATTGTGGTCTGGTGGATGTGGGAAACAAGATGCACCGTTGGCGGGTTGGAGGCGGTATGCGGAGGACACTTTTGTGGCACTGACTACAACTTGTTATGTCATGGGGTTCTGGTTCTGATTTTTGGGGACACAATTCTGTACACTTGGGTGAACAATCTATTCGATTTCAAGAATATTTACAGGTGGAATAGTGGGATAAACGGGAAAGCAAGCGAGGAGGATGGGGACACTTAATGTTGCTATATATGGAATATTTATGATTATGTAATGACGCACTGGGAAGATAACCTCCCTCGGTGACAGACATTACGCTCGGGCAGAACCTGGGCGAAATCCTGTCGAAATCCGGTCGTAATCCTTTCATAATTGTGCGGTTACCACAAGATTCGCCTACGTCATAATCCGGGCGTGATCTTGGAAGAACCCGGGCGTAATCCAGACGTTACGCTCAGGTTACACCGCGGCGTAACTTCCCGTTTCGTGCAGTGCTGTGCGAAAGCACGAGCCGGAGCCTTCAGTTGCGTATTAGAATGTTGGCATTCCACTCTTGCTCTACGCCGTCCTCGACGCTAGCGCGGATCAAATGCTAAACCAGCATTGACTTTCCCCCGTCTGTAAAGTTAGAGTCGAGCGAGGATACGCCAGCATAAATCGACGGCCAGGAGTAGCCGAAAGTCGCCAGAAGATTACACAAAGTTACCGAGAGCATGTCACGCGCAGAGAGAACAATTGTGAAGACGACTGGATAGCATTTGCACACACCGCAAGGCTATAACAATGTTACATGCATCACAGCACAATGATACCGTCCATGGAGCTGCATCGCTCAGACAGCAGGGGGCTTGGTGCCAGGCTGGAAGGTGTACGTTAAGCCACACTTGCCGCAGTACTGGCGGTCCTTGTGGAAGGCCATCTGCACAAAATCCATCAACCACCAGACTGACAGTCAGACAAGCGGGATGTACGTACGAAAATACCAGCACCACACTCAGCAGACGGGCATTCACGGCGAAGACGCTTGATCTTGCCGTCGGAGTCGACCTTGTAGTACTTGAGGATCGCCATCTTGACTTTCTTACGCTTGTGCTTGACTTTCTTGGGAGTGCTGTACTGCTTTTTCTTGCGCTTCTTGGCACCACCACGCAGACGGAGCACGAGGTGGAGGGTCGACTCCTTCTGGATGTTGTAGTCAGAGAGAGTGCGGCCATCCTCAAGCTGTTTGCCCGCAAAGATCAGGCGCTGCTGGTCGGGGGGAATGCTGGAAGCGACACCATTAGCAAACAGACTACATGAAGAGAGACACAGCTACTCACCCCTCTTTATCCTGAATCTTGGCTTTGACATTGTCGATGGTGTCCGAGGACTCAACCTCGAGAGTTATGGTTTTACCCGTGAGGCTGTAGACATCAAGCAGCTCGTCAGTATTATACTCTCCGATACCAGGAAAGGCGGTGGCTCACGTCTTGACGAAAATCTGCATGTTCGCAGACGCTCTTGTCTGTCCAACGAGCTGAACGATGGAGTCGTCGACAAAAGCAATTGACTTGGTGGAAAGATTTGCAGGCGTGTCCGCACGCTCTTATACCCCGGCGGACGCCGGTTTGTGGATGGTCCGTGCACCTTACAAACAAGGTTCGTGCGCCGATGACAAAATGCTGACTCAGATTGATGCCCGACTTCGCGAATGACCGAGACGCGTCGCGTTCGGGTGCCACGCGCTGACGCGCCCGAGTTGGCTGGTGACCGTGACCTCTTCATCTTTCTCGAGCGATCGCGAGACTCCCTCTGAATTCCGGAGCATGAACAGCGACCATGAGATGGAAACCGAGGAGCAGACGCCGGTGCAGTGGCCCATTGGCAAGGGAAAGGGCAAGGAGAAGGCGGTAGAACAGGCGAACGGACATGACCCAGAGAACTTACCGTGGTGTGTATATGCGCAGTCATGAAGGGTACTTCAGCTGCTAACGCTCTCGAAGGGTCGAGAAATATAGACCTGTCACGCTGGACGATGTTGTATCTCACAAAGACATTACAAGCACAAGTGTGTGTTCACGCTTACTGGAGAGCCGCGGCTTACGCATAACGTAGTCGAAAAGTTCATTGAGAAAAACAGGTTGCCTCACTTGCTATTCTATGGACCGCCCGGTACGGGAAAGACATCGACCATCTTGGCTGTTGCACGGCGGATATACGGGAAGGACTACCGCAAACAGATTCTCGAGGTGCGCAGCTATTTACGTTGCGCATTTTGCTTTTTAAATTCTCATAATAGCTCAACGCCTCTGATGATCGTGGCATTGATGTCGTTCGTGAGCAAATCAAGAATTTTGCTGAAACACGGACGCTCTTTTCAAAAGGCTACAAGCTCATCATCCTAGATGAGGCTGACATGATGACTACTGCAGCACAGGCCGCCCTCCGGCGGGTCATAGAACAATACACGAAGAATGTTCGATTTTGCATTATCTGCAACTACGTGAACAAGATCATACCCGCCGTCCAGAGCCGGTGCACGCGCTTCCGTTTCTCGCCTCTGCCTGTCCCTGAAGTAGAGCGAAGGATCAATGGGGTCATTGAGACCGAAGGGTATGTTGTTTTCTTTCTGTGTAAGGATTCGCGCATGATCTTGCTTTCCAGTGTGAAAATCACCGGTGATGGACGGAAGGCGCTGCTGAAACTCTCGAAGGGCGATATGCGAAGAGCACTGAACGTTCTTCAAGCATGTCATGCGGCATACGACGAAACAGGCGAACGAGAGGTGTATCATTGCACTGGTACACCTGATCCGGCTGACATCGCCAACATCGTCAATTCGATGTTCTCCGACGAATTCACTACGTCATACAAGAGTATACTCTTTGCCTTGTATACTGTTGGACACGCAACTTATGTTTTATTGCAGTGATCTCCTCTCTGAAGACAGATCGTGGCCTGGCACTACAGGATCTACTCAACGGAGCATACGAGTACGTCGACGAACTAGAATTGAAGCCACACGCTAGGATCTACCTTCTCGACTACTTTGCCACTGCCGAGTATGCCTTGTGTTAGTATCCTCTAAAGTGTCCGGCTAACATAGTCTTTTAGGTATCGTTTGTCTGCCGGTGCGAGCGAGAAGATCCAACTGACGGCTCTGCTCGGCGCTTTCAAGAACGCCGTCGAGCTTTCTCAGATAGCATAGGCATATATGCATCCTTCTAGTTTGTATCCCTCGTGTGTGTGCTGTCGGCTGAACCCTTGTTCCTAATAAACCAGTAATATGCTGTTCTTATCGTGATGTTGCCAGATATAGAAGGCGGCATAGATACCATCTACACAGCGATCCACAAGTCCCTTTCATCTCTGATGCACCCGGAACACACGGCAGAGGCGCGAAGAATCTACATAGCCACGTAGTTATGTCAAATCCCATCCAGGACGTAGACAGCCCAGTAGACCCAGAAGATCTCCTATCGGACTCCCTCCAGACCCTGTACGACTACACGCCGGTCACACACTCATCTGCAGGCTTGCTCTTCCGCTACACCCTCCGCCCGCGATCTGGTCGCGCATCACACGCCGTTGCACCCACAGACGCAGATCCCACAGGTAATCCATCCGTCGTGACGCTCGTGACGCCTAACACGCAGGCGGGCAACTGGGCGCTCCACGCCTCGTCGATTTGGACGTCTGCGCTCATCGTCGCGGATCGCGTGGAGCAGTTGCGCATCGAAGAGCATGTCGCACGCGAACGAAAGCGCGATGGCACTCTGCCGCTGCATGTGCTGGAGCTCGGCGCAGGTACGGGCCTGCCGAGCATTGTCCTTGCGAAGCTCTACACCGACGATGTGCACATCACCGCGACCGATTACCCGGATGCGGAGCTTATCCGCACTCTTCAGGACAACGTTGAGCGAAACGGTGTCGCGGCGCGCTGCGATGTCGTGCCATACGCCTGGGGGAGTGACCCCGCGGTTTTGCTTGCATCCACAGCACGGACACAGTCCGGAGATGATGGACTAGGATTTGACATCGTGTTGGCAACAGATACGCTCTGGAATCCAGAGTTCCACGCGTCATTCCTCCAAGCACTGCAGCTGACGCTTCGGCGCACGCCGGATGCGCGCATATACCTTGTCTCTGGGCTGCACACCGGCCGGTACACACTACAGTCGTTCATGCAGGCGCTTGGCAGGTATGGCTTTAAGACGGAGAAGGCGGAAGAGTGGGAGGTAGGAGGTGAGAGTACCCGCGACTGGGATATTGGCAGAGCGGATGGAGAGGACGAGGCAGAGAGGCGCAAGTGGGTTGTAAATATAAAAATTAAATGGAAAGATGCATGATTTCTGTTCATTCTTTCTTCCGAGTAGTCAGTGTCCCAATGCGCACAAGTTTATGCTAAATATGCTCCGAAATTTAGCGTTCGGTCTGCTTGCCGTCGCAAAGTGAACGAGAAAGACTGCCTAAAGCAGGCACCTGCTTTAGAATCCCGGCGCTTACGTTAGTCCCGCCGCCACAAAGGCGGGCGCCTGAAACAGCGCTGTACAGCACCTCTGTCCTGATCCACCACTGCCCGACCATGGTATGCCAGAAATGCGAGAATGTACGTCTCAATTTCCTTTCTATGTCTTAGAGTATGCTCATAAGGCCGGGAAATGCAGAAAACTTCGAAGCTTGCAGCGCCAGACCCCTTCAAATCCTCGTCCGAAGCAATCAAGGAGGGCTCACGCAAGGTCGGCGAGAATAAACTACTGTCGAGGCCTGGGAGCTCGAAGAACAGGTTTCAAGTGCGTATTATGCGTTATGTATAGAGAAGAGAGGAACTGACAGGCCGTTCCAGCCATACCAAGGCAAATGCAAGGACTGTAAGTCAACGGTGACACAGAACAAGGCGAAGTACTGCCACGGTGCGTTGACTCACTTGTACCTTCACTTAGCCAGACTGACGTAATATCGTTAGGATGTGCATATAAGCGAGGTGCATGTGCTATTTGCGGCAAGAAGGTCCTGGATACCGCCGGCTATGTCATGTCGAACAAGTAGAGATGCCATCGAGAGCTTTTCGAGAGCTGTTGGCCCATGGATTGTTTCCCCCAACGCATATAGGATATAGAACGCTGGTCATCGTATGTGACATTACTTTGTATGTTTCGTAACTTAATGGACGCCTGCCGTGAAATGCCGTGCCTGTCGTGCAGGGAACGTTCGAAGGTGCCCCTTGACTAAGTGAGTCTGTCGGGGCTGACGAAGGCAGAACGTAAATCAAGATGTTTCCCAACGCATACTGCACGATATTCTGCACTCGCATGGCCAATCCGTATGGTATTCTCGTGAACTTCTGCCTCCCGCCAATATCAGCATAACATGTAACTGGCAAGGGCCAAGAGGGGTTCTACGCGCATGTGGTCTTGTGATCAATGGCCCCACGCACTACACGTAGATTCGTCTAGACCTTATCAACTAAGAGCGGGTGGTTACATATAATGCAGCGGCTTGCAAGCTGTCATGAATTATATGGAAATCTCGAAGCTGGTCTTTGTTGCGCTTTACCAAGTTTGATTGAACTTGCGCAGGGGATTTGTAACTGTTTGGCAGACTTGGAACGTTGAGGATAGCTCGTCCCGCTCCGTCCCGCCCGCAATGAAACAATTGAGCAGATCAATGGCATATAAATACTACAGTCTGTCGTGCACCTACAAAATAAACTATTCGTGCACACGTCCGAGAGTGTCCGTAATCATCCTACGCTGTCCTATTTTCGGCCGCCAACTAACCATGCACATGTCTGGTGCGCAGCCTCCTCGCACGAGAGCGGAAGAACGACAAGCCATGCGACAGTTCATGAAGCGTTCGTAGCGTTCGTCGCGTTGAACTGGCCCTGAAGCTCGATCCACTGCTGAATGCGGGCGTTCTGGGCGTCGTCGAACTGTGCCCAAGCTTCGGACTGGTTCGTGGTCTGGCATCACACATGGATCAGCGCCATGAGGCTAGGAGGGCAAGCTTCGGCCGTGTGCGGCGACTCACCGAAAGCATCTGGATGTACGGCGGCGGCGCGCACTCGCTCGAGTCCGTCCAGTTCCCAAAGTTGAAGAGCGCGTAGACGTTGCGCATGAACGCGTCACCGAGGATGAAGTCGAGGTCCTGGTTGCTCAGGTCCATCGGCGAGAAGGTGTTTAGGCAGAGTGTCACGTTTGAGCCGTCGGAGAAGTCGCCCACGTTGCTGATGTACGAAAGGTCGAGGGGGTTCAAAGGATATTCGGTGCCGCTGGAAAGAACGGTCGGAACACTGTGGGGCATGAACGATCTTGGTACTCACTTGAAGATCAGGGACACATTGCGCTTCAAGTCGCAGGGGACCTCGTAAATACCTGCACCGGCGTTGACGAGCTCCACTCCCGGAATATCCCCGTAAATCGCGTCCCAGTAATACTGGGGTATCTCACCGAGAGAAGTGCCGCTATCAACGAGGGCCACCGTCTTGTTCTTGGTGGCGGGACTCAGCTCCGTATTGTTATTCTCGGAACTGTATGCCGGATTAGATGTTTATCTACAACCAAGGCGAAGACACCTACAGAAATCCGTGCCCAGTGAACTTCTTGCCGTCGACGACGATACCGTCCATGAACACGACCCACTGGTTGAGCGCCTCTATAACTGGAAGCTGGGTCTGGTTTAGGACCGCGCTCAGGTTCGGGTCGACGTCGCCGATGGTGAAGACGCCGCCCTCGGTGATGCCGAGCTTCGAGCGTACGAGTTGGAATGTAATGAAGTTCGACACGTTCGAGTACGTCTCAAAGATATTGTAGAGCACGGGGAGACCGCCGAACGTTGTGTTCTGCAGCCTCTCATATATCTGTGAGAGGTTCTTGCTAAAGACGACTTTAGCGAATAACCTGCTGAGGCTCTAAAATCTACGTACCTCGAGAGGCCCATCAGACCCAGATCGTTGTCAGATGTGGCGTTAGTGCCCGGAGCACTTACTAAATGCGCGCAGCTCATCAGACGCTGCTGAACCTCATGATGAACAACCACTTACTGAATGCCTGCGCAGGGATGGAGAAATTTCCAAGCTGTGCGGGTGCCAAAAATATATCGCCCGACGCCACGGTGCGGTCACCGTATGCGACGCTGGTCGAGATGTTCGTGTCGTTCGCAGCGGAAGAGAGCGTGATGTTCTGCGTGTTGAGCCACAAGTCCGAGCTACCCGTATCGAGCTGCACCTCGTACGATCGCCCGTCGATGGTGATGTTCGCCACATAAATGACCTGGTTGTCGCCCGCAAGGTCCACGACGTTAAAGTTGAACGGGTTCGCGACGTTGGTGAAGTTGATGGTGGTCCCTGTCGGCGTGACTGAGGGCTGCCGACGGAGGGGCGCATCGTGCAGCGAAGCAGCGGTCGTTACACCGGCGAGCACTAGCGGGAGAAGGCGGGCCCAACGTGAACGAGGAGACATGTTGAAGATCAGCTGTGGTTGAGGGGCGAGTGTGCAGACCTTAGCCACGGACGGTCGAGCCATTTTATATGTGGTCTTCTTCCTGCACCTCGCGACGCCATGCTTGATGATCTAAAGCTGAAGCAGGAACAAGCCAATGCAGCGGGACGTGGGCGCGGCGCTGACGCCAACGTCAATGGGAGAGCGAGAGCCGCCAAATTTGGCTGATGCCTCTTCCATGACTTCGCTTGTGGTTCATCCCGCCGCGGCAGTGCCGCAAACACCAGGCCGCTATGGCTGAGAAGTGAGTGCACAGGCTTGTACGGCGCCGAGAAGCTATGTTACGTTCAATAGTCAGCGCGCGCCGATCAGCGCACTTATTGCCTGACAGTTGAGTTGAAAAAGCAATTCGATGCAGGCGCAGGTCGAGGAGCAACCCGAGGTCCGAAGACGGACGCGGTCTCTGCTTACCAACTCGGAGAGTGAGCCGAGAAGTCGAATTGTCGCCCGAGGCTCCATAGACATGAGGCCGAGGTCGGAGAAGCTGCGTGGTGCAAATCTTGTGTAGTTGTTCCCATCGCCAGGCGCAATGTAAAGCCGCCAAGTCACCGTATTAGGCCGCTACCCCCGGATGATGCATTGATGAACGTGTTCAATGCGCCGGCTAGTCAAGGAGAGCGTTTGATTGTGAAGGAGCACCAGGCACCTCGTGACGAATATGAGCGCAGGGTGTGATTAATTATATTGTAGAGCTCTAAACAAAATGCATAGATGGTAGTAACAACAGAGCAAGCAAGACAGCATAGATCACAACAAACATCTCACCAAATCCAACACTAATGAACCCAAAAATACAACAGCTAGTTCACCTCCTTCCCTGTCCTCTCGTGATAGATTTGAGTATCGATGGTGTTCGTACTCAGGAACCTCCAGATCGTGACGTGCTTTGTCTGGCCGTAACGCCGGACACGACCTATGGCTTGCGTCTCGCAGGCGTCGTAAATCTCCTGCGAGGGCGCAAGAAGCGGCGAAAGGAAGATGGCGTGGTTGGCCCCCGTCAGGTTCGCTCCACTGGCGCTCTCGTCCATGACGTTGAGCAACAACACGCGCTCAGACGAGTCGTTCTGGTACTTGTCGAGGTTCTTGGACCGCTGAGAAGCCGAGCCCTTGATTTCGAGGAACTTGATGTGCGCCGACTCGAGCGCCTCGCCGACCTTCTTCATCAGGTCAGGGAACTGGACGAAGATGAGCACGCGCTCTTCCTTGGGGATGCGCTTTCTGTGGGATGAAGTCAGCAATAGACATGAATTGGCCACAAACTTCGACTTACTTGATCAGCTCGATGACCTTCTCGAGCTTCAATCCGTAGTGCTTCGCATTCTTGTCCCTCACCGCATCGTCAACGCCGAGGGTGCTGCCGCGAACGACATTGAGCACGCGCGCTGCCGCTTTGCAGGCCGTCTTGCTCGGGGCCGCCTTCGTCTTCGGTCCGTCATCATCGGACATATCGCCATCGCGGGACCGGCTCTCGCCGCGAGACGCAAAGATGCACTCCTCGCGCTCTGCATACTCGGTGACACACTTGAGGCAGCCCATGTGACCGCAGCTGGAGAGCACAGCAATCTCGTCGAGGGGCACCTCCCGACCCTGACACTGCTCCGAGAAGCATCGCACGAGCGGCGGAGCCTCCCGCTGCTTCTGCAGGTCGCGCACGGCGGTGAAGTACCGCAGAGATCGAACGCGTCCGGTGAGCTCCTTGGTGACGCGGCGGATTTCATGCGTGTGCTCCCGGTGGCCCCAGATCTGCTCCTTCTGCTTTCCAGTGAGCCCGTCGTCGGCCTTGCCTTTCGTGCCACCTCTCGCCTTCGCAGTAGCACCGCTCTTATTTGCAGCGGGCGCAAGAGGAGCCTTGGCCTGAGCCTTCTCGAGTAGCTCCTCAACGATCTTGGTCGCGTCCTCGTCGCCAACGCCCTCTGTTCGGGAGACACGGATGTACTCTTGGAACAGAGACTCATCCACTTGGAAGGCGTTGATCTTCTTCTGAGTCTCGACGCCGACTTGGAGCTTCTTGAGCAGATCCTTCTTGCAGTTTTCCAGCTGCTCTTTCCGTTCCGCCACGATGATCTCGCAGGCCTTCATCGCGTTGTCTTTCTTGGTCTCGAGATCAAAGTGCGAGCAACGCTTGAGCAATGCCTCCTCAGCAGAACTGAGATTTTGTCAGCAAACGGCATTATAGAGTAAAGAAACGAGCTCACCTGCTCTCACCAAGCACCTGCGCGAGACGCTTCTCGCGGTCGCTTTCGGTCTTCTTGCCGCGCTTGATAGTCATATCGAGAGCACGAAGGTGGTGTTCAAGCTCGAGATAGATCGCCCGCTCGGCTGCGGGGAGGTCAATCTTCTCGATTACCTCCGCGCATGGGATCTCGTCGATCTCGGCAATGTTCTGTACACCGTTAAATGTCAGCCAATGATACTAATGATACGTGGGTGACGAGAGGAGAAACGCACCTGGCGCACGAACTGATCCAAGAACGCCTGGCCGATCACGTGGCGATGAGCATGCCACTCAAGACTGTGAACTTCGCGGAACGAGTGGAACTTCTCGACAGCTAGAACGCGCCGTCAGCCAAATCGAATGGAACGCCGTACAACGAGAACACTAACCTGTCTGTTCACGCTTTCGCTTCTTCGCAGATTCGCCCTCTCCGTCGTCATCGACACCAAGGTGGATATTGAGGAACGCCGAAATCGTCTTCAGGGCACCGAAGTCTTGGACAGGTGGCGTGCCTGAGAGTACCCAGTGCCTCTCCGCGGAAATGTTCGAGATCATCGAGAGCGTCTTGCCCTCGAGGTACGTATATTCGTCCACAAGCTTACGTGCGAAGTGGAACACCTCGAATGGCGGCGCCTTCAGCTTCTTCCACTCGTCAGGCACCTTGCGCAGGCCCTTCAGGCCCCACGGATCCGCGTCTGCCCGCTTCTTCTTCTTGGCGGGCTGCTTCGTGTCGTCGGCATCGCGCTTGCGCTTCTTCGCACTCGAGGCCTTGCCCTTGCCCTTCGCCTCATCGACGTCCATGGCCTCGGAAGACGTCTCCGCATCGGAACTCGCAGCGCTCGAAGTAGACGTCGCAGCTTTGCCTTTGCCCTTGCCTTTCGCGGGAGCTTTCGCAGGGGCTTTGCCTTTGCCCTTCTTGGGGACGGCGGCCTCATCACCAGACTCTTCGACGTCGACATCCATCTCTGCGTCGCTCTCCTCCGCACCAGACGGGTCGTAGTCAGAGGACTCGTCGTCCTTGGCCGCACGCTTGGGTTTGGTGGCCTTTACCGACTTCTTCGCCTTGCCCTTAGCCTTCGGGGCATCCTCCATCTTGACGTCCTCGTCGTCCGAAATGTCGATGACGAGCTTCTTGCGCAAGCGCCGCGGACGAGCGGGCTGCGGAACGTCGGAGTCCTCTTCCGCCGCGGTGGTCACCTCGGTAGCAGAGGAAGCCGGCGAAGAAGGGAGCGACGAGGACACTTTGGCCCCGCGTCGTGGCACCACGACTTCCATGACCTGGCCGTGGCGCGGAACAGCTTTGGACACCTTGGGCTTAGGTGCCTCCTCATCCAGCGCCATAGCTTGGTCGCGGTAGGACTTGCCCTTCAGGCGCTTGCTCTTGACGGTCAGCTGCTCTTCGTGGGTTTCTGTCGATGTGGTTAGTAAAGCGGACGCACATACGCGAATACGAGACTTTACCTTCCGCCGCCGCCTTCTCGATCCTATCCCACACTTCCGCAACCTCTTCCGCCTTGAGAAGTTCCACCTGGTCCTTCAACGCCTCCAATGTCTTCGCGAGCCTCGCGTTGAAGTACCGCCCGTCCTGGTTCTCGGGCAGACCGCCGCCGGCCGCGAAAGCGCTGAGGTTCTGCACGTAGTTCGGGCTCTTGAACAAGTTCGACGCGACGACGATAAAGTCGGCGTTCTGTACGGCCTCGACCGTGAGCTTGTTCACCTGCGCGACGGACGCGACCTCGACGATCTTGTACCGCCAGCTGCTCTGGTCAATGAACTTGCTGGCTTCCTTCACCCACTGCTTCGTCAGATGCGGCGGCACGATGCACAGCGTCGCCTTCGAGGGTATCCGTCCGTACAGCGGGTCTCCGTCGGTGCCGGTCTTCTTGCTGCTCTTCCCCTCGCGCTTGAGAGCCTCCTTGAACTCGGTTTTGATCTCGTCCTTTGTGCAGTTGATAAGACCGAGAGAAATAGCGGTCTTCCCGTAGCCGACCTGGTCAGCGAGCACGCCGCCGCGTACGCGGTTCGGACGCTGAGCGCGCCCCTCGACGCGCCAGTTCAGCGGCTCGAGGATTGCCTCCGAGATCTCTTCCTCGACGAACGGAGGGGCATCCACTTCCTCCTGCTGGAGCATCCACGTCAACGAACGCAGCTGCTCCGGGCGAAGCAGGGTGTGGAAGTCTGGCGGCTGAGTGTGCTGATCGTCCTGCTTGTTGCTCTTGAGCTTGAACTTCGGCATGCTGAGCTTCGCCATGGGCGTGAAGTCTGTATCGAGCCGCCACGCCAGTGTTGCGTCGGCCGCGCGCCCCTTTGACGGTAGTCGTGACAGCGCGCGATGCATGAGCGACACGATGTTGATGCCGATGCGCACGTGTCCGATGCCGTTCTCCTCGACCTTCAACTGCGTCACGAACGGCGCAGGCCGCCTCTTGAGCGCACGCTCGTAAGCACCAGCCTGGGCGGCGTCCTCAACCGCGACGATCTTGTTTTTCTCGTTCCTCGCCCAGCCGATCGCGGGCGCAGGCGGCGCGCACCTCTCACAGTCGAAGTGCAGGTCCTTGTATGGCACCTCCTGCCACGCATTGAAGTCGTCGTCGTTCCGCACGCGCTCGGTCAGCCAGGCGAGTGCCCTGAATGTCAGTCGTTCATGGACCTTGTCGACCTCTTTCCACGCGCCGACGGGCCATTCGGGGCCTGCCTGAGAGTGTAGAGGCACGCGGCAGACAAGCACGGCGTTTGCGCTCTTGCAGGCGTCGACAGACGGGTTGACAACGAGCTTGTTGCTCGGCACCGCGAAGAACGCTTTGCGGTCCGGAGCAGGCTCAGAGAGAGCGTTAGCTGCAATGATACAAACCACTGGAGAACTGTCAAACTCACCTCAAGACGAGTCTCGGACGACTCAATCCACTGACACGGCGCCATTGCCTCGACCTCCTGCGGCCCAACGACGCTCGATTGCCTCCATCTGGGAGTGAGCCTGCAGATCAGGGGACGGTGCTCGCCGTACTCGAGCCTGCGCTTGCTGATCGAGAACACGAACACGTCTTCCTTGGGGTCCCCGCAGCGCAACGGGTCGAACATCATGAACAGCGGCGGCACGTCTCCGTCACCAGGCTTCGTGTCGCGGCGGTGGAGCGCCCCGTTCGCGGTCCCGCACTTGTCGAGGAGGACATACGTGCCCGAGATGTCGCGGTCAAGCTTGTCCATGTCTGCGTCGCGCACCGCGATCTCGAGGCGCGAATGCACAGTTTTGTCGCGGAACGCCTTGCCCTGCAGGCCGAGGCGCGCCTCCCACGCCGGCACAGGCTCGCTGCCCTCGATCGTGAGCGTGAGCTTGCGCTGCGCCGGCAACGCGAACTCCCAGCGGCCGTCGAACAGGCCAGTGGTGCAGCGCAGGCGGCCGACGGGGGCCTCGAGCAGCGTGCGCATCTTCGAGTTGGCGGGCTCGTCGTCCGCGGGCTTGGCGAAGAAGCGCCACTCGGGCTGCTGTGGGTGGAGGGAGAGCTCGAGAGTGGCGAAGTTCGACTGGTAGGCCACGATCCAGATGTCTTGCCGCTTGGGTTCGGCGAAGCGCAGCTCCTCTTTCGCTGCACGCAGGACGGCCTCGGACCAGCCTTCCCAGACTTTCGCGCTAACGTCGACGTCGGTCCGCTTCTTGAGGTCGTCGAGCAGCTCTTGGGTGATCTCCGACAGGATGAGCGCCATGGGCAAGCTTGATTTGAGCTCGCGCGCAAAGAGGGAGGGAGAGAGACGTTGGTTCTTGACGACGTCGATGACCTCCGGGTTGTGTTCAGGACGCCCACCACACTTCGAGCAGGATGTCGAACCGCAGTCCTTGCAACGACTCAGCGTGCGGTCCGTCATATCCTTTCGGCCCTCGCACTCGCATAGACGTGCGCTCTTCTGCGCATTAATAAGGAGTTCGCTGAGAGGTTGTCGAGATGTCGCCGCGAGGTCGAGAGGCTTCTCGACCAGCTGGTCTTCGCCCGAGATATGCTTCTCGAGGGACTCGGCGATGCCGAGCTTGTCGGTCATCATGACCACGTCGACCACATCATCGTCCTCGTCTCCGTCCTCTTGCTTAACTTTACCGGACGAATACTTCTCCTCGTAAGTCTTCTTGTCGTCACCAGCACGAAGGAGCTGCTTCCCGGTAACGAGCGCCACCAGCATGCACGCGCCAACCACAGTGGTAGACATCGCGTTGCCTGCAAGATCGGCGAGCTGGTCTTCCGACTCGCGCGTAAGGAGCAGCTCATCCACTGGGAGACCCTGCATCGACAACGCCTCGAGACCGACCATGGGCCCGCCGCGATTGGTGATGTAGGGAATCATGGTAGGCGTCAGACACGGGCAGATGCCCATCTTGCTGGAACCGATCGTACGGTCGACGTTTTGCGACAAGTTCCATACGACCCTACATGTATTTAGTCAGCGTTGTTAAAGGAAGAAAAATGGACTAAATTTGATGCTTACGTCTTGTACGACGCGTCGACGCCGGACTGGGCTGATCGCATGAGCGAAATGTCCATGAGATCCCAGACACGCTCCACTTGGCCGACGCCCCAATCGTTCCACGCGAAATCAGGCAGCTTGCAGTAGCCGCCGTCCTCCCAGTTGGTCAAGGGCCGCTTGGAACCGAGCTCCTCCTCGAGTCGCGCACGCTGGTGACGGGATTCGCAGCGTCCCCAGTCGGTACGCCCTGTACGACGATCGACAGCATTGAAACTCTCTTTCACAAGACGCTCTCGCGCCTGGTGGATTCGAGGATCGTCTGTAGGAAGAAGGAAGGCGTCGAGGGTGGAGGAAGCGGGGCGCTGGATGTCCTTGATCTTTTTCTTCCACTGCTCGGGAATGCTCGACTGCCTCTTGTTCACCGCGAGAAGGTAGACTCGTGTGCGTGTATGCGGGATGTAGAAGGTCTTCGTGTCTACGCGCAAGTATTCCGCGCTGTAGTCTTCCTGGGCGAAATACTTTTTGACCCTCTCCCATGGAGCGCCGCATACGTTTTCGAGGATGACCAATGGTGGCCGGTGACGGCGGACCCAGTCGAGCATGCCGCGGAAAGTCCTGCCGGACTCACCCTGCGCGTCGATGTCCTGCTTCTCGTTGTTCAGGTTCGAGTAGTCGACGCAGGACGTACCGGCAATGAGTATGTCGACGTCTCCAGGAACGGGCGCGAGCGCGCCGTAGGCGGTGTGCGCGTGTGATCGTCCGAGTTCACAGACGTCTCGGAAGAGAATGGGAGGGCTGAAGTTGCGCTCGATGTACGCCTGCTTGAACGGCTCGATTTCGCACGAGAAGACGTGCTCCATCTCGAAGTCGAGGTCGAACTGGTCCTTGATAGACCGCCGAATGAGTTCAAGCGCGAGTAATGGAGACTCCGTACCGGAGCACATCGTAGCCACCCGCATCTTGCGCCCTTGAAGCTGCTTGACGACTCCTTCGATTTGCGGGATGCGCCCCACGAGGTCGTCAAAGATGGCAGGAATTCTGTGGATGGGTGGGTCATTGGAGGAGTCCGACGCGACGATTTTTGACTTTGTCTTCTTGGGCCGGTCCTCGTCAGTCTCGGTAGCGACCTCCTGCTCGTTCTCGGACACCGTTTCCTCAACCTCGTTTTCCATCTCTCCCTCCGTCTCCTGCTCTTGCTCCTCTTCCTGCTGAAAGTCGGAGCCCTTGTCGTCCTCGGACTCGTGTTCGTTTTCTTCAGGCTCGTCCACGTCGACGACCTCGGCCTGCTTCGTCGTCTTCTTGGCTGCCTTGCCAGCCCCCGCCGGCTTTTTGGTGGGCTTTGGCTTGCTTGGACTACCTCCGCCAAAGAAAGAGGTAATAGATGTTTGCCCGGCGGGCGGTGCCTTCCCCTTCGCCATCGTGGTTTGGGTAAAGAAGAGTTTGTCATATTCGAACGCGGCTGTCACGTCTTGCACGCGTCAGTCACGGCGTGATCGTGATGATCCGCGCGGTGACTCGTTCACGCGTCCGTCACGGAACGGGCTAATGGTGATGACTCACGCGGGTGACTCGAAGAGCGCGTCGATTTGAGTAAACACGGGCAAATAACACGTCCAGCGACGCGTCGAAACTCTGTATTCCTGTCAATATCTGCACAACAGTTCTGAACAATGCTTACGACGACATTTACTGCTTAACACTGTCTTCTGCCCCGCACGACATGTATAAACCGGCCCATGGACATCGCCTAATCTTACCCCGCCGTCTCGTCTCTAATGCTCTCTGTCACGAGAGCCTTCTGGGGCTAGCTAGGGCCGCAGCCTTTAGGCGAAGATGTTTTCCACATTTTTGGTGCGGGCTGCGTCAGGTGTAGCGCCGTGTATATGCATCTTAGATTGTCTGTAAGCACGTTTGCTTACGGAGCAACGTGACGCGGTCTCCGTGTGAGTATTCTTCTCTGAACATCATAAACCCTTCCTGACTCAGCATTAGAATGTCCGAGCCCCATTCTATCGCAATTCTTCCTCCAGTTTACGATTCGTCTGTCCTACTCCGCCAGATCCGAGCGCGCGTTGATGCCCGAACCGCGAGGGGAGGCGCCGCCGACACCCCACAGGGCGGGCTTCAGGCGGGTGCATCCGATGCATGACTTGAGAGACTTTATTTTGTGAGAAGACACCAGATGACTCGGTTGCCCTCATTTCCCAGCCAGAATCTGCATAGTGTCCAGGCAGAGCGAACGCAGCCCAGCTGGCGATGGCGCTCAATTTGAATAGCCGCCGAGTTCAAAGTGACCCCGCTGATCCATTACGCAATCTTAGGCTTCAACGTACTCATCCCGCACAATGGCTCCTGAAGAGCCTCGCTTCAGCCCCGTGCGGCAGGGAAGCACGCCTCTGCGCCCTACTTATGCCTGAGAATCCAGCCATGTCAGCACACCGACGACTTGACTTGAACGGGCACCATCTGCGTCCGCCAATATGGTGCAAATCGTCCAGGTCGTCTTGTCTTTTCTCTCAATCTCCTTGCCGTGGTCCCAGCAACCACCACAGCCTATAGTCGACACTTTCCTGGGAGCGCTGTCTGCCGACTCGCCACAATCGAACGTCACCAAGTCCATAGCTATCATTGGCGCAGGCAGCGGCGGCCTCGCGATCCTCAAGACCCTGCTCGACCTCCCAGAGGAGACTCGCTCAACATGGGAGATCGTGCTTTACGAGCAACGCCGTGATGTCGGCGGCGTGTGGCTGCCTGACCCGCAGCCACCTCATCCACCATCACTTCCAGAGACCCCATTGTACCCGCGTCTACACACGAACACACCTCACCCGACGATGACCTATCCAGGCTTCACCTTCCCGCCGGGCACACCGCTCTTCCCGTCGCATGAGTACATGTGGCAGTACCACGTCGACTACGTCGCGCACTTCAACCTTACGCGCTTCATACACCTGAACCGGACCGTGCTTGCTGCAGGCTGGAAGGGCAGCAGCAGGCAGGGTAAGTGGGTCGTCGACGTCGGGCGTACGGACCGTCCAGACGACGTGGAACAGCGGACGTTCGACCACCTGATTGTCGCGAACGGGCACAATCACTACCCGCGCGTCCTACATTGGAGTGGCGAGGACGACTGGGTTGGCAATACGCCACTCGGAAAACCTAAGCGCCAGATCCTGCATTCGATATTCTATCGCGAACCTGAAGATTACATCAACAGGACGGTAGTGGTGGTCGGTGGCGGTGCTAGTGGACGAGATGCTGTACTGCAAGTCGGCGCGTTGACCAAGGTGAGTAGCAATAAGACTGTATTGAGTACGAAGTCGCCTAAATAATTCGTCAGACTTATCAGTCGTTGAAGGAAGGGAGCTCCCCACCTGACGGCGCACAAGTCACTGTCAAGCCTCCGATATCTCATTTCACGATCGACTCTGTCGTCTTTACCGACGGTAGCTCCCTGATCAACGTCGACTCGATCATCCTGGCTACCGGCTACCAGTTCCTCGTTCCCTTCCTGTCCCGCATCCCAAAGGACTCCGGGATCAACACTCCAGCACTGATCACGTCCCCGACGACGACGGCCAACTCAACAAGTGCATCAGCACTGACGACGAACCTGCGGTACATATTCCCGTTGTACGAGCACATGTTCAGCCTGTCGCCCGCCTTCCCACCGACGGCGCTGAGCTTCGTCGGGCTTCCCGTGCTCATCGCAAACTGCCCGTCCGACCGCGCCCAGGCGCTCTTCATCTCGCACGCGCTCGCGGACCCGTCCGTGCTGCCGTCGCGCGCGGACATGCTCGCGCGCCTCGTGCGGCGCGAGGCGGTGCTGAGCGCGCACGGCTTCGACCCGTACTACGTCGGGCACAAGATGCTCGGCGGCGACGACGAGGCGCAGGCGTACCAGAACGCGCTGGTGCGGTTCCTGAAGCGGCGCGGCCGCCTGCCGGACGACGGCCGCGACTACGTCGAGGCGTGGCGCGTGATGGCGCGCAAGCAGTCGTCTGTGCTGTCCCGCGCGTGGTCACGCGTCGAGACACGCGGAGAGGAGGCGACCTGGCTGGATGGTGTAGAGACTGAGGGCGAGTGGGCGGATCTGATGTTTAGGCTTGTGGACTGGCAGACGGAGTGGGAAAAGGAGCATGGACAGGGCCCCAGTACCTATGCATGATGTGTAGCGTTTCCCCGTAGTATTGTTTAGCATTTATCCATTCCGAGCGCATAACGACGTGTATCGGTAAGGCATGCACGTGGGAAATATATGTCGCGATGCACCACGGAGTCTTAGAGAGATTCTAACGAGCGGCGCTCTGGATCAGATCCTGAGGCAGGACACCAGCTCAAGCGCCTACTGGGTAATTGTCGATCCGTTCAGTCATCATCGACGCGCGACGCTTTGGACGAGTGCGAGGACGACCGAACGGCATTGGCGTATCACTCATCGTCCATGTATTCTTGTTCATGTACGGTCGTCCGCAACCTCAGCTGACTCTGCTAGATGCGCAGCCTCGGAATGGACACGTCCACGCGCATAGCTCTCGTTCGAAAGGATGCGGCAGGACATGCTTGCTCCTCGATCTCTGTGTCGCCTCAGCTTTTGGAATTCTTCTCTTTTCTTTCAGCTTCCGGCGAACTTGAAGCCTGGTTCACGGACATCTTTCGCGGAAAGGGGCAGTCGTACCCGTTGTACTCGGTCGACGACGCCGCGACGGGCCGAAACGAGGTCCGGCGAGTGCTCAACATTCTAGTACTTGCCAAAGAATGTGACTCAGGCTGGTGTGCTGGCGCGGGAGCCTTGTGCAGAATGCAATGCAGCATTTCCGAGTCGAAGTGACTTAGAGTACCGGCAGAAACGACACTTCTGCTCGTTTTAAGTTACACTTACCCTGGACTATTCGTTTGTTTATTCCCGTTCTCTCAGGGCTCGAGCCCGACGACGGACGCATCCGAAGTAGCCTAAGCGCTTCGCCGGATCAACAGCGATCGGCGTCCGCATCACCGACGTTTGCCTCCGCCATGATTATTCTCTCATTTGCATCGAAGCAAGACAGCCCTTTCATCTCTCTTACCTCGCTCGACACAACCTTCTCTCCATATACGCGGACGGTGGATGGCAGCATGAGGGAAGTGGTAGGCTGCCAGCACATCGTAAACGACAAGGTATCCTACAATTCGAACCCGAAGGCGCAGGGATGCGCACGCAAAAGTCGAGCGCGCCAAGTCAAACAATGCCTGTCGGAATGGCGCATCCTCCCCGAAGCCGAAGCTTGAGCCCCCGCCGTCATTTGACCTGACCGACATCATGGCACAGGTCACCATCAAACTCGCCGCCGGACTGGTCACACGGGGCGAAAGATGAAGGGCTCTCCGGGCCTTGATCGACGTGGTGTAGTCTTGAAAGAGGGCACCAAGGGAATGTCCGACAGCGAATGAGTGTGCAGTAACGCCGAAGATACTCGATAGATATAGTGCTCAAGGACGGCTCATCAGGTTGGCGAATTTTGATCTTCGAGATGCGCCCTACGAGAGCGTCAAAGAGAGCGGGGATTCTGTAGATGGGTGGGTCACTGGAGGAATTTGAAGCGACGTCCTCTTAGGCCGGTCCTCGTCAGTCCCGGTAGCAACCTCCAGGCTCCTGTCTGTTCCTGGATACCATTTCCTGCATGTCGAGGCGTGGCGCGTGATGGCGTATAAGGAGACGCTTGTGCTCTCCCGCGCCTGGTCGCGCGTCGAGGAGAGGGGAGAGCAGGCGCGCTGGCTGGATGTTGTGGCGACTGAGGACGAGTGGGCGGATACGATGGCGGGGCTGGCGGACTGGCGGACTGGCAGAAGGAATGGGAGAAGAAGCACGGACAGAGCCCTAGTACCTATGCATGACATGTAGTGCTTCGTCGTATATCACCGCTAATACACTCCGAGCCCATAAGGACCGTGACCGTGTGTGTTCGTGAGGCATGCATGGGAAATGTCTGCCGCGGCGTATACCACAGAGTTTCAGGGATGCTGGAAAGTGGTGCGCTGGATTACTGCATAAAGCATCTGCTTCGGGGTATTGCCGTAGTTCGAAACAGCAAGTTGACAACGCACATGCAACATATATAGGCTGTAATGTCGATTGTGACCATAGTCGGGCTGCCGCGCAGCCACTGTGAGTTCAATCTGTCAGCAGATGCTGAGAAAAGTAGACGTTACTCAAGGATTAGAGTATAATATCCGTGATATGACCACTGGAGGACGAGATGAAAGACGAAGGGCTTTCCAGGCCTAGATCGACGTATATACGGATGGTGGTCTTCGACGTCGCATTAACGCCGAATATCAATAAACTCAAGTGCCTAAGCGCTTAAATTATTTCAAAGGCATGGTTCGTGGATTTAGAGGAAGAGCAATGCACAGTGCGCAGTTAGAAGCATGCAGTAAAACCGTATCGCAACCGCAAAGGCTTCGTGGCGCTGATCATACCCTGACGGCACTGCTTGCTGCGCATACCAATATTAATCCGCCCGGGCCATTGCGTCGCGCACAAAGACAGACAGCCGAGCATTGAGCAGAGCAAGGCACAATTGAATAGAACATAAAAACAAGTAATGTACTTCTTTCGATACAACGGGCGACGCGCGGTGATAGACGTCTAGATACAGTTTCGGAAACAATAGCAGACACAAAGGGAGTGCTCCAGGTGAACAGACGCGCGAGAATACTAGACGAGGAAAAACCAGCAGATCCCAAGCACAGGTGAAAGCATATAGAGGAGGAAAGGGCAAAGCTACATACGTATATGGGAATGGGCAAGGGAGCGTAGGGACAGTTGTTTTATCAACCAAAAAACCAGTATGGCGTCTAAGTTGGACAGCGCATCGTGTCCAGGTCTAGAGGGCGATGCGCGCGGTAGCCGGGGAGGGGGCGATATGCGCGAGGGATCTCCGCGCACCGCGGTTCGGCAGCGGGCTGCCCTGCGAGGTGAGACTCTGGAGGGCAGTCCAAGTGTACAACCTCGGCGTGACGGACGACGGTGGCGAAGGGCTGCCGTACGAGTACCGCGGTGTGTCGTTGTGCGGCGTTGTAGATCGTGCGGACACGAGGATGGGAATCGGGTCGGAGTGCGTGGGAGCTGGCCGCGGGAGGTCGGGCATCACCTCCATGTGCGGCAGCGGGAACGAGACAGGCGAGGGTGAGCGAGTAGGGGGGTCCCACTGCGGGGACTCGTGGTAGGATGTCCGTATGAACGACGTCTGCGGGCGTGCGACGGCGCGGTACGTCTGCCCATCGTCCTCTGGCAGAACGATGGTTCTCACAGTCGTGTCGCGCACGACACCGTCTAGAGCGCGACGCCTGTAGCCGAGCTCCACCTCCTCGATCGACAGCCCGTCGTCCTCCTGCGTGGGCGTGCCTCTGCCGCTCAGGCTCGCCTCGCTCGAGCTGCTACTCCCCACCTCCTCCATGACGGGGCTGACGCCCCTGACGACGCTCTCCACGGAGCAGATGCGCTCGTCCTCTGCGTCTGCAAAAAACTCCTCCGAGTCAGGGTCGAATGGGTTCCAGTATGACCACCGTTCATATGGTTGTGGCTGTTCGGGCTCGACACGGACGGCGGGGGCGGTGTACGCCTGAGAAAAGAGCGGGCGACCCATTTTTTGTGTTGGTGTGGAGGGTAGATAGGTAGTGTACAACGGTGCTCTGCGAGCTTTTGAGGGTATGAGCTGGTGGGTGTAGAGTAGTATCAGAGGCGGGGGCGCAGCCTTTTGACCTGATGTTTGGGAAGTGCACCCACGTGGGCCGGTTGATCGGCCGGCCCTAAATGGCCTCACAGCTCTCATCAACGTCCGGGAAAGGCGCGCACGGGGCGGAGATTGAACGGGCCCCGGTGGGTTTTTGGCTTTTCGCCGTCACCGACGCAGTCTTCCCCATACGTGCCCGTGCTCCAAAATTTACTTGATGCTATACAGTGCTCTTCAATATGGGAACGATGTATAAAAGGTTTGCTCGGGTTAGCTGCAATCTTTTTGCTTACATTCTAGTACCCGGTCAGCCTGCAGAGTATACCGCCGGATCCTGCAAGTAAAAGACAAGTCAGGCTCTTTCCTCTTTTATGTAATATTCAGCGAACAGCTGGCTCGCTGAGAGGCGGTGCTGCAACAGGTGCGCGCTCCGCCAAGTCCATGATTGAAGCATGTCGGCTGGAGTCTTGCACCGACTGCTCTCGCGAGGATGCTCTGCTTTATTATCAGACCGACATTGCCTGGCTTCATTATCAAACACAACGAGGGTTCTCGCATGCCCGGTAAGCTACCAGTAGTCTAGACTCTGAACCGGACACTCACGGCTGACAATCATTAATGGCAACATGTTAAACACGTCACTGACTTGGCACTTTGGCCACATGGATCGGACCCTGCAAATACGCTTCGTCTTCCATTCTCCGACTACAGTTTCATATCTTGGCTCTGCGGGGGACCATGGCCTAGATACCGAACCCACCGGAACTTTCGCGTTTCGTCCTCCCGACTTCCAAAACTACAGTGCGAGCGCAATCTACACGACGTCCAAGATTATCAGATATGTACGCAGTAATCTATGATACACGTTCATCCATCGACATCAAATAGTCGTACAGCATAAAAGATAAACAGGTCATCAACAATCGTGTCAAAGCGTGTAACGGTACCCGCTCCATGCGTCGCCCTTCTCGCGCTTTGCGTCCTCGACGCTCGCAAAGCGCCCGTTCCGCGCCAGGTCCTCGCGGTCGTCGTTCACGCCCTCGATGATCTCGTCGCGCTCGCCGCGGTCGCGCCGGTCGTTCTCGCGCTTGAGCAGGTGCCGGTACACGACGGCCGAGATGATCGCGATGCAGATGTACATGAGCACGATCCCGTGCCCGAGCGTGTACCAGGGCTGGTCCCTGGCGCGGTACTGCGTTTTGCGCGCCGGCGTCAGCGTGTGCGTGTGCGCGACAGGACGGGAGAAGGGACACGTACGACGTTCGAGCTCACCGCGCCGTTGATGTTCCCGAAGCTGATCACCATCGCGAGCGACACGCTGCGTTTGTAGCTGCCCTCGACGTTGTTCGACACCCACGCGACCGTGTTCGGGATGTTCGGGTAGATGCCGCACGCGGCGAGGTACACGGCGATATAGGAGAGCGTGGCATTGCGCGAGGCGATCAAGATGATGTAGCCCGCCAGGCCGACCAAGGAGCAGACGCTAGACAGGCGTCAGTTCGCATATGCGCTCAGAATTTCAGAGCGATGATGCGCTTACATATTAATGAGGCCACGCTGCCCATAACGATCTGCGATGAAGCCCACAACGCACGTGACAATACACGCCAGCGCATAGACGGGCACGGTAAGCAGGTTTGCGGGAGTAGCGGTGAAGCCCAGCTGGTTGATGATGCTCGGCAGGAACAGGCTGAACGCATACAAAGGGCCTGAGAACGACAGGTCAGCGAAGCAGCAGTTATCGCGACACATGTGCACATACAGTCTGTTCTGAATGGCACAGCCGGCAATGTATCGGTCAGCGCATCTGTCAATCGAAGAGATTCTGCAATACATACCCCATATACAATAGCACTGCACACGTCGTATAAACATCAAATTCGGCAGCAATGCACGGGACAGAGTACTCACTACCCACCCAGGTCTTCCAGTCCAGGAGACTCTGCGAGATGTACTTGAACTTGAGCGTCTCACCCGCCGCGCTGAACTGGTCGTCCTTCTGCAGCCGGCGGATGACAAAGGTGCGCTCTTCCTCGGTCAGGAACTTGGCCGTGTCGGGGAAGTCCTGGATGATCCAGAACGACGCGAAGCCGGCGATGACCGTGATGAGGCCTTCGAGAATAAAGATCCACGCCCAGCCGGGCTTCCCTCCGACGCCGTCCATGTTCGAGATCGCGGCCTGCAGAAACATCCGTCGGTCAGCTTCCGAGCATACCCCGCCCCCACATCGTGCGAACTCACAGCGAGCAGCCCGCCGAAGGCGCCTGCAGTAGCATTTTGTCAGATGTGGGCTGTCGCACTCAGGGATACACAGAGTACATACCGCTGACCTGTTCGTTGCAAAGAGCGTGGGGTCGTGAGTGCTTGCGCTAGCCATAAAAGACTAGAGGGTGGCTTACCGTTGCCGCCGAGAAGAAGACTGCGGCGCGGATACCAAATTCGGAGCGCCTGTACCAGCTGCGGTGCGGGGTAGGTCATGCGGGTGTGCCATAGGGCGTAGACGGTTCTCACCATGAAAGATAGTAGTTCACACCTGGGTAAAGGCCGGCTTCGAACATACCGAGCATCCAGCGCATGCCTAAGGACCAGTGTAAGAATCTCGTGCCACGCAAGTTGAAAAATGCTATCTCCGGCGAAGCTTACCGAGTAGTCCACCGTAGTTGTGGACGAGCCCTTGCACGGTCTACAGAGTGATCAGTGGTGTAGAGTGCTCGAAATATGGCGAGACGTACCATCATCACGCCCCACAGCAGCATGAGCAGCGAAAGCCATATTGACGGCCTCAGCCGTTTCAGGAAGACGTTCGAGGGGACCTCAAAGATCGCATAAGAAAAGAAAAAGACCGTCAACGCGATGTTGTATTGCGTGTCATCAATGTGCAGGCTGGCCTCCATGCCGTAGAGCTGCAGGAAATGAGCGTTTGCGAAACGTCTGGAGCTGACATGGGCTGACCTTGGCGTTGCCGATGCTCGTACGATCCAAGAAACTGAGCAGGTAGAGGAAGGACAGCCATGGCACGAGCCACCAGTCCAGCTTCCTCAACAGCTTGCGCTCGTCGATCCCGCTGACGTCGATGTGGGCATTGAAGACGTTCGTCTCCGCCGCCGCGGTTTTTGAGTCGTCGCCACGTTCGATCTCGGCGATGCGCGCCTTCTCGTCCGCGGAGGTCGTGGACGACGCTGAGGACTTGACGTCGTTCTTCTCGGTACCCGACATCGCTGCGGCTCTCTCACAGAGTGTGGGGACTGAATGGAGAAGAGGGTAGCCAGAGACTGACGGATGATGTGAAGCCCTTTTACATGCCGATCAACCCAACATTTTGTCCGCTAGAGAGCCGGACCCAGGGAAGAATCGAGCGAAAGCGGCAGAGAAGATCAAGGGACGCGGGGTGCTTGATTGATGTTCCCCACAATGCGGGGCACAGCCGAGATAGAGCACATGCTCAGCTCCTGCGCCACGACTCGATATGTCGCGATGTGGACGGGATGAACAGCTAAGCCAGTAAATTCTTGGCAAAGAGAAACATTTTACACGTTTGAGACGCACACAAGCATCCACTGTACCTGTTCGGACCTGTTCGGACCGAGAATAATAGAGGGCGGCCGAGAAATCTATCAGTCGTCGACTGCGGTCTCAGGCTGGTCTAACCTGGTCTAAGACTGCATATTATTTGAAGCCTGACTGAGACATCGGTAAGTTATGACGACCTTCAACCGAGAGTCGTCCTGAGCCATCTTGCTCGCGAGACAAGGATGTTCTGGGGTAAAAGATGGTGCAGAATACGATGTTCTGAAGGCTGTGAGAGCAGCGCACAATTTCCCTGAGATGCACAATGCGTATACGTAGTGCTAGAGCGGGAGATAGGGCGAGGATTTTGTATACTGGAAAGGGAAGGAGAAGATTCGCAGCTATGGTCAGCATTGGTCAGCATGTGCGGTGGGGATTAGGTGAGGTTATAACTTATAAGCGTTAGATAGGTGCTTGGAGCGCTGCAGATGCACGTTGGCTGCTTTTTCTTGGTCGAGGTGATTGGCTCTGACATACGCAGTAGGCGGTACTAGGATTCTTTAGCTTGCCAAGTCACGAAAGATCGGGACAACTATCTCAGATTTGCCATATTCGACGACAATGATTGCTGCTTCGGCGATAGCCGATCCCAGCTGTCCCGCTGGCGCCCTTGACGAACTGGACGAGTTTCTTTGATTCCTACAAGAACTCTCTATCAGAGAAGCGAGTCTACTCACTTGCTCCTTGGCTGGCACTTTTTCTCTCTTGCGAATAGCACACCAATGACTTGCGAGGCCGCTTATCGAGGGTATGAGAGCCGGGCACATCGTGGTATAGTGAGCCAGGCACCAGTCCACGCATACGACAAAAGCGTGTGCAAAATTGAGAAGGGGTTGCGTAGCCACGACAGCCCATCACGCTTACGACGAGATGACAGCATCCAGGAAATCACTGGCAAGCATCCGTGAGATCCCGCGAGGGTCTTTCCCATCCCTCGATTTCTCTCGCACCCAACACCCTCCCCTTGTCCACGTACTTCGCGTTTGCGAGAGACAAAAACTCGCCGGTCATGGGTGGGCTCCTCTCGCACTTGCGCTACCTCAGCTACGGCCTCGAGCAGACGTTCCCTCCGAGGCCCAAGTTCTCAGCCGACCAGATTCCCGACCTGACGGGCAAGGTGACCCTCGTCACAGGTATGCATGGTCCTGGCTCTGAGTCGAGGCCCGCCATGCTCCAGGAACCCGCATGAAACTGACACATGATCGAAACCAGGCGGAAACACGGGCATCGGCAAAGAGACGGTCAAGGTGCGGATCGGCTCCATACGAGACGCGAGCGGACTGAGCGTGATCACTCGGTATCTGATAGGCACTGCTCGAACATAATGCGAAGGTCTACCTCGCCGCAAGGAGCAAGGAAAAGGCCGAGAAGGCTATCGCGGATCTGAAGGAGTGCACGGGCAAAGAGGCGATCTGGCTCGAGCTCGATCTCGCGAGTCTCAAGTCCGTTCGCGGAGCCGCCCAGGAATTTCTCAGCAAGGAGAGAGAGTTGCATATACTTTTCAACAACGCGTAAGCCTCATTTATTTGGTGGTGAATATTACTGATTGCTCGCTGTAGAGGTGTCATGTGGCCTCCGATCAACCTCTTGACCGAGGACGGTTTTGACTTGCAGTGGGGGACAAATGTCGTCGGTAGGCTTCCAGGTCACGCATATACCCAATTCAAAAGCATAACCGATGCATACAGGCCACTGGTTGTTGACTGAGCTGCTCGTTCCAGCGCTCGCGGCCGCCGCGAAGAGCTCTGCAGACGGCCATTCGCGCGTCGTGGCCACCTCTTCTGCCGGCGCGTACCTCGAAGGCCTGCACTACGACAGCTTCCGAGATTCGCCGAAGCGTAAGAAGCTAGGCAAACAGGGGCTGTACTTCCAGAGCAAACTGGTTTGTTGCCCTCCCATTTGTCACGCCAAGTAACAGCCGTATAATGGTCTCTGTAGGGCAACGCTATGGTCGCCCGCGAGGCTGCCAAGCGCCACGCAGACAAGGGCATCTTGTCGTTTACGTGTAATCCAGGTTAGGAAAAATCTGCTTTATGTCGACACCCGTATATCTTGACGCACCTTGCCAGGCAACTTGAACTCTGAACTGCAGCGACACGCGACTCCGTTCCAGCTGTTTTTTATCGTACGCACTGTCATTGTCCTAATAGGATATTGTAAATGGACCCAGCATCCGCAGAGACGTATCGCGTATCATCCGTCTTACGGCGCGCTGACGCAGCTCTGGGCTGGCACCATGCCTGAGACTGCCAAGTACAACGGTGAGGTACGGTATCTTCAGCGTGCTGTATGCACATCTCGTTTACTGACGTTATTCTAGTTCTTGATTCCGTGGGCTCGCATCGGAAAGTGTAGAGACGAGTTCTATGACGACAAGGAGACCGAGAGGCTATGGAAGTGGCTTGAAGAGAATACCAAGGAGGCGACTATGTAGTTTTGTTGAGTCTTTGGCGCTTGCTTTCAAGTGTATATGCTTTCCAGTTCGCGGCCGTTTAATCATATCATACTCCAGGCTTTAGACTTGCACATCTTGCTCTCATAACGCTATTTGACTGCATTTTCTCGCTCTCTGAGCTTGACCAACACACGATCTTCTTGTTTTAGTTCGAATGTGGCTCGACAACGCTGCCTCAGTCCCGTCGGAGAATGTACAAGTAATAGTGGAATGCCTCTCCCAGCTGCCGCACCTCAAGCTTCGTACCGGGTCTAGTGAGATATCGCTTGCGGAAATGCGGCTGGCCGAAGGTCAAGTAGAGGAAGATCCCGCCTGGTCGAAGGACTCTGCAGACTCTGTCAGAGATTTGAGGGGAAGAGTCAGGGTGGGTACGTACCGAAGAACTTCGTCTACTTCTCGAGTACAGTTCTCAATGACCTCCTTTGGCGGATCCTAAGGCCGTAGTGATTAGGGAATACGTAGGTATAGAATTGTGTGGTACTCACCCAGACGTCTGCCTTGGCCGTCATCATCGCGTCCATCGTACCCTTGTCGATCGCGACGTCTACTGACTCAGAGTCGAACTCCAGGTCTCTGACGTCCATTTCGTGCCCTAATGAGCATGATTAGACCAATCAACATAAAAGAAGAGGCGACTAACAAGTCATTTCGGGCCGAGCTTGTTCATACCTGTGACGCATCTTCTCGATGAGTATGCCGGAGTACTGTGGGTGATGTGAGCTTTGAGAGCCGGGAGGCGAAGGGGAGACGGAGATTACATCGACGTTCACAATGGTCTTGTAACCATCATCGTACATCTTACTATCCGTAAGCCTTGCGGAGAGGGGACATGTGACTAGGACGTACATCTTCTGACAAGGTCGAGTTTCCGCAACCGAGCATGAGGATTCTCGAGGTCTTGTCCGGGATCAGCTCCTCGATGAGGTCCTCAATGTCTGCATATTTCTTGAACCAGTCAAAGGAGCTGTCTTCAGCCTCTCTATTATGGCGATTTGAATCATTCTCCTGGCTAGTCGTGACTTCCGTCCTTACTGATTGTAACGCTTATCCCTGTTGGCTTGCGAATCCGGTAAGATAGGTCTCTAGTAGGATACATTCAACTACTTACCAGTATTCCCTGGTTCCGTACTCCTCGTTTTTCTCTGGCAACACCTCCGTCATCCTGCTCGACCTGTTCTCTCTTCCTGCCTCTGTGGCGGCAAATTAGCGGGAAGAGGAAGCGCCCAAGGGGCCGATCGGAAGTCGCGAACCGCGATCTGGGCCATGTCAGCGCGTTTGTGTAATCCGGGGTAGTCAAGACTCCCTTGGGCGGCGCACCCACGCTTGACGGGTCTTGCTCTCAACCTCCACGTCAGCCTAGTACACCTTGACAACGACCATGGTATGCTCGGACTGTGCTTTGTCAAAATGAACTGTAGCTGACTGCAAGTCTGCAGTCTGCCTATCCCGCATATATAATGGGTGGCCTCTGTCTCATCGGAGGCTTGACCGGCTTCGCGAGGACGCGTAGTATGCCCTCTCTGGTCGCAGGTGTCGGGTACGTCAATGAGCCATGGCAAGCAATCTGAAGCTGACATGGCGAGAACTCCTAGTGTTGGCTTGCTTTACCTGTGGAGCGCGAACAGCATCCGCAACGGAACGGCTAACGGTCTGGAAGGCGCTCTCGGTATGTCGAGCGAAGCCTTCATTGAGGGACGTCTAATCACTGCTGTTGCTAGGCGCATCGGCTCTCCTCCTCCTTTCTTCTCTCCCTCGTGTGGCAAAAGGTCCGGTCCCCGCGGTACTGACTGTGACCTCTGCCGCGTCCACGCTTTACTACGGCAGGACTGTCCTAGCGCTTCGGCAGTAAGTCGCACATGCCCCGAAGCTTATGTGGACCACGTTGCTTGTATCTCAGAAACATGTAGTTATGTGTATGAATATGCGAGGATCCTTTTCGTCAGCTTCTGGCTCCACTGCCGTGCTATCCGGTGCCCGTCGTCCCTCCTGCCGAAATGCGCGCGCATGCCCGTGACAAGGAAGTAACACCGGTGACGCGTGATGTGACATCTCATGCTCGAGTTGGCTTGTTTGCCTGGCCAGCGACTTCGACGATTTGGGGCTGTTGTCGACAACCGTGGCGACGCCAGTCTTACTCTTTTCTTTTACGTTGCTCTGAGAACGCAGTGGCGGTCTCGACACATGCTCCGCTTGAGCACCTTCCGTCCTGCAGCCGTTGTCCGACCACCCATCCGAGTCCCTGTGCAGCGCGCTGCTTTCTCTGTTTCTGCCGCACGCCTATCCGGCAAGAAACGCGACGAGAAGATCAATTACAACCGTGTCTCATTCTCAGAGAGCCCGAAAGCCGAATATGCCAACTTCCGACGCGTCACAGCGAACGACCTGGAGAAGCTCACGTCACCTCCAACAGAGGTGAAGATGCTCGTGCGAGAGTTCATCGAAGACTCTCTCTATAACCCAAACTATGGATATTTTCCTCGCCAGGCGACAATTTTTACCGCCACGGACCCCATCAACTTCAATGCCATGCGCAACGCGGCCCAGTTCCAGGAGGAGGTCGCTAAGCGGTATCAAACATTTGAGGTGGACGAGGAGGGGCCAGGCAGGCAGATCTGGCATACACCGACGGAATTGTTCAAGGTGTGTTGACGCGGTCTTCTCATGGTGTATATGCTTGTTAAAAGCTAATTAGTCTCTGTTAGCCATGGTACGGCCAGGCGATTGCACAGTGCCTCGTTGCGGAGTATCTGCTCAAATACTTCCCGTATGAAGACCTTGTTATTTACGAGATTGGTGCTGGTAACGGTACCCTTGCGCGGGACATACTGGACTATCTCCGGGACGTTCATCCCGAAGTATACGACCGGACACGCTACAATATCGTTGAGATTAGCGGAAACCTGGCGAACCTGCAGCGGAAATTGTTGTGCGAGGAGCACCCGTGCGTGAAGGTCAATCATAGAAGTATATTCAAGTGGGATACACCAGAGCCCTCGCCATGTTTCTTCCTTGCGATGGAAGTCATCGTAAGCTGCTTCTCAAAATGCTGCGCGATTTATGTCTGATATGTGTTTAGGACAACTTCGCCCACGACATTATACGTTATGATATCAAAACTCTAGAGCCGTATCAAGGCTGGGTGACCATCGACAAGCATGGAGACTTCGACATGTACTTTTCACGGGTCACAGACCCTCTGATCTCGTCTTTCCTTGCGCTCCGACGGCGCTTGGCTCACCCTCCACCGCTATCACGACTGTTGAAGATGGACAGGCTTCGATCCGTGTACGCAAAACTGCCATTTGCCCCCAATCTCACAGCACCGGAATATATCCCAACTCGCTCTCTGACGCTCCTCCGTACCCTTCGCCAGCACTTCCCACGGCATCGGCTACTCCTTTCGGACTTCTCATCGCTGCCAGACACAGTTCCCGGTGTGTGCGGCCCGGTAGTGCAGACGCGCGTGAAGAGCACGTCAGTCCCGTGTGAGACGATACTCGTCAAGCAGGGCTACTTCGACATCTTTTTTCCGACGGACTTCGGCAGGCTGTGCGACATGTACGAGCACGTGCTCACGGAGCCGAATCCGTCCGGCGTGCCCTACGACCCGCGCATCTCGCCGCTGACGACGAGTGTGTCCCCGCTCGCGGCCGGTGCGAACTTCTTCTCATCGTACCACCCCAAGAGCCGCCGCCCGCCAATTGACGGCGTCGCGTCCTCGAGCGGGCTGCCTGTCGGGGAGCGCAAGTCGCAGGTGTACACCCACGCGGAGTTTCTGGAGACGTACGCGGACTTGGAACGGACAAAGCTGAAGAGCGGAGAGAACCCGATGCTGGATTACTACCAGAATGTTAAGTTCTTATTTTAGGACGACTTTTCGAATCCAGTACATACTTGCGTTCGCAAATCCTCACTTGCGATTGGATGAGATTAGGTGTGCTCAGTTGTCTCCCCTAGGCTGAGTGGGCTGATTCGTCATAATTATACGCTTTGCGATTGGTGTTGGTATCGAAGCTTCAGTTCCAGCGCTGTAAGCGTCTGGACCATTTAAGGACGCCCGTGCCGACATTTGTTATGATACTATCCTGCCGTGGCATGTAAGTCATCTAGTACGCTACACACGCTCTGTGTCTGTGCGCGAGTGCGCAGCTAGCTGGGCTCTCCCTCCACGGCGTAGCCGTGCAATTCGTCTCAGACCTCCACAGAGTTTGTTGGCCTTTCAGGAAGCAATAGATTTCGGGCCATATTCATGGAAAATCATCGTGGAGGCGTAGATGCGGACGAGGGGGGTGCGGACGAGAGGTTCGTGCGGTCTGCGGACTAGGGGGGCACGCGCCTCACGGATGATGAGACTGCGCGGCCTACGGGTGATGGTATTATCCCTGCCCTTAGTACGTAAATCGAGATCTCGCCTTGCAAGCCGCCTTGCTGATCATCGAACATCTTCCGCTTACTTGTTAGGTTGATGAAGCAGAAATCGTTACCCGTAGCGACGAGTTCTCAATCTGATCCAGAGGCCGAATATCGCATTAAGTACTCTGCCGTGGGGATAGGTCTGGGTGCGTTTGATTTGGTGAGCTTTTCGCCTTCCTCGAATTATCCTGTATTTATTGCTGGGCCTCAGCCAACGGCTATTCTCTCGTGGTTCTTCATGGCAATGGCTCTGCATCCGCAAGTTCAAGCCAAGGCACAAGCCGAGATCGATAAAGTCGTCGGCAACGAGCGACTCCCGCGAATTGAGGACAGAGAATCCCTGCCACATGTTTTGGCCGTCATGAAAGAAATGTTTAGGTGGCAGCCATCTGTTAGATTGCGTACGAGAGTCCGTTTCCCGCCAGCGCTCACCTCTGACGCTGATTATGGTTTGGTGCCACATGCTGCGAGCAAGGACGACGAGTATCAGGGCTACTTCATTCCGGCCAAGACGACGCTCATCGCCAATGTCTGGTAAGCGACCCAGCTGATATCGTCTCTATCTTGCGCTGATCCCGACGGCGGCACAACAGGGCTATTATGCACGACGAAAGCGTGTATCACGACGCCGACAAGTTCATCCCGGAGCGGTTCTCAGAGGAAGGAGCACCTGACTGTCTCGACTACGCCTTTGGCTTCGGTCGACGGTAAGGCGCTGTTCAATCCCTCTGCGCGAGATGTGTGCTGACCTGTGCGCGCTAGTGGCTGTCCGGGGGTACTCGTCGCGCAAGCGCATGCGTTCGTGTCGATGGCAACGACCTTGGCGACGTTCAACATCACGAAAGCGCGCGATGCAAGAGGGAAAATCATCGAAGTCAAAGCCGAAAATACCCCCGGAACCGTCAAGTAAGTTTCAGGATTGCGTCGTGCGTGCGCACGGTGCTCAATTGTCTTTTGTAGCGCCCCTGCACCGTTCAAGGTTTCTCTACAACCTCGTTCTGAAGCAGCTGTAGACTTGATCCACCGTTCCGTTGAGCACTCGAAGACTCTGTCGGAAAGGTTGGAAGTTTTCAGTCTGGACGAATAGTTTCAGTGTCTTGCACCGGGTGTTTACTCATGTTCGCGTCCCCATCCTGTTGCGGGTATTATAAACTTTACGACCAGTACACCGGATGAAAGTGCTCAAATCAGGCTTCTGTGAAGCAACTCCCTAAAATCGCTCAAATTTGAGAAATTATTATGGGCAGGGTCAGCAGAAAACCTGTGTGACATGTGTCACCCTTTCAGCTCGAAAGGTGACCGCTGCGTATGGGGCTTGCTCGTAGGCGTGGAAATTGCTTGCCTAGCCTGAGTTTGAGGGAACGAGAAAGCTAAAGGTATGTTCAGTCGCCCCAAACCCGCTGGCTTACCGTCCGAGAGGGAGCGTGTCTCGTTGATGCTCTTCTGGCATCCTTTCTTGAAGTAACGCGTCACAAGCACCCCAAGACAAAGTTCGCGCCACAAAGATCTTGCTTAATTCGGACGTGTTAATTGGCATTCATTAACTTGAACCCTCCAGGGAAAAGAACAGTTTCAGTCCATGAGGTAGTGTACAGCTATGATACAGAGTCATCCTGACTGTCATATTTCAGTTAGCGACAGGACGAAGTCAAGGGCGGTATTACCCGGGCAGCATGCACTGTTGATGGCCGTCTATTCATTCCTGGAAGGGAGGAACCCGCGCGGCAGATTACGCTCCACCTCGACCCAGACAGGCGTCACCGCACTCGCGAGCGAAAGCTTCGCCACAAAGCCAAGGTCTTTCCACTTGTGGATCATGTCTGTGCTGCCAGGGAAGAAGGACGTGGTGGTGTCTGCAACGGCGAAATGTCCGTCAGCGCTGCCCGGCAGGTCATGTGGTGTATCCGGAACTGACCTTCGGGGGTATCACGCAGGCCTTCGGTCCACCTGGAGCGCGGCTGTGCTCCCATCAGGGCAGACACGCCCTTTGGATTGGTGGTTTTACCGTCGATTATCTGCTGCACGTTAGTGTCGATGCTGAGCACGTTATCGGGGCGCGCAGACGGCCACCTGCAGAGGGAGTCAGCATCGCCCGCAGTACCGCACCGAGGCCTGTAGACGCACCAGTGAGTGTTGCACAGGTCAAAGTCGCTCTGCCACGGCAGAGCGAGTCCGCGGCTGAGGAAGCCTGGCAGGCACCTGTCGTAATCGACGCGGAACGGCGGGCGTACGTTCTGGGGGTCAACTTTCCATGTCGGGTCGAGCTTCGCGATCCAGAACGTCTCGATGCCGGGGTAGAGCGGGTCGCCGATCGTCTGCTCGAGCGCCGCGCGCGCGAGCATCACGGGCTGGTCCGCGATGGGGTAGTCCTCGATCACCTTGATCGTGCCCAGCTTCGTGCCCACCGTGAAGTTGCCGTCTTTCCACCTCTGGAACCGGTCGTACTGCAGCTCGGTGAGCGCTGCGAAACGCGTGATCGGTTCGCCGGTGACGGTGCTGGGCACGGTGCCTGGCTCCAATGCGTCGCCTGTGTCACCGCGCTCTGTGGTGAGATGACGCAAGGCCAGGGTGGGCAGCGGCACGTACCGTTGTCTCCCGACAGACGGGGCATGAGCTGGACGTGGGCCTGATCTTTGTTACGGAAGTCAGGCTCGCGAAGTCTTTCGAAGACGTGTTCTCGGAGAGGCTTGCTGTCAGACCCCGAAGATGAAAGCGTTTGCTCAAGTGGCAGGAAATCGCCAAAGCCTCCAGGACCTGCGTAAGTAGCTCAGCCGCACTGCGACACCCGGTGTGGCTGTTGATTGGCCTTACCGTGGCCCTGGAAGGCTTTCTCGTTCACCCAGGACAGGCCATAAGTCCCCGCAAGGACAGGCCAAATGTCCTTGTAGAAGTCGGTGCCAGAGTGATCTTCGTAAGACTGTTTCTTCTTGTAAAAGTTCTCCAGGATGTCGTAGAGCGACGTCGGCGACTCGATGCCCCAGGCAAACTTGGGCGGGGCGCTGCACACGGTCGCCTTGAGGGGCGTCAACCTTGGGCAAGCGGTCTGTACACCATCGCGACGGCGGAAAAGAAAAACGGAGACTCACTTGCTCAGGTCGGGGCTGTCAGGGTGCGCAACGCTCACGGCGACCCAGCCGTCGCAGATGTCGTCGATCCAGTCGATGCTGTCGAACTCGGAGATGATCTCGGGCTGGTAGAACTCGTTCGTCTTCTGCACCGAGCGCGCGAGGCCCGTCCCGCCGAGGAACACGAGCCGGCCCTGCGCGTCCGTGCGCAGCTCGCCGAGCGTGACCGGGACGCCGCTGCCGGCCGGGTTCGAGCCGTCGAAGCGCCCCGCGAGCACCACGGGCTCGGTCTCGCTCCCGCGCGTCAGCGGCTTCGCGCCGGGGTCGATGATCAGGCGCGCGCGGCCCTCGAGCGACTTGTCGAACGGGTCGCCGCTCAGTGTGCCGCCGACGGGGTCCGTGTCGGGGTTCCGCAGCGTCTTCTTGCGCTCGCGGTACAGTCCTGGACCGTGCCCGCGGTCAGTCCCCGTGCCCTGTGGGACTAGCAGTACTGTCGTGTGTGTGCTCACCGCTGAACTCGTAGTACGCCGCCTTCTTGTTCGCGACGTGCACGGTCCAGGACAGCGTGTAGTTCTGCTCGTTGTTGATCTCGCCGAGCACCGCGCCGCCGGCATCGTACGCGTACACGCGGAACCTGACGGCCTGTGGGTGCGGCGCAGAGCCCGACGGTCAGGACGCGCGACCACAGGCGGTGAGGACGGGCACTACTTGCCTGGCGCCTGATGCGCTGCTTCTTGTCGCGGAACATGTCAGCGGGCGGGTCGGTGATGCCAGGGACCTCAGGGGCGTAGTAGTACTCGATCTCGCCGTCGGAGCTGCCGTCGGGCCTCACACCCGAGTCGCCGACGCGCGCGATCCCTATGGGCGGGAAGATCTCGACGCGCGCGATCTTGGTCGGGTCGACGGTCGGGGACTTCTTGTCCTTACTTGGGTCTGTGGGGGCAAAGCTGTTGGTCATGGCGGGGAGGCGGTGGTGGCTTGCAAGCTCCCTTGTGTGGGCGAAAAGGGTGCGCTTTTCGCCAGTCAGCTCTTATCTTGTGGTCCGCGCCCGGGTGCAGATTTGGGCAGGCATGCACTGCACCCCCAAAGTCACTTGACATCGAGCCTTTGACTTCCGCCTGGCAGTTCGCAGCCCCCGGTGCAGGGAATCCTTCCAGGTGACATCGATGGCCCCCCTTGCGGGCAACGTTCGAGGGTCTTTCAGACGACAGACGGCACTACTGATTCCATGGCAGAAATGAGTATGGAAAGCGGCAGCACCCTCCCTGGGACGACGACTGCTATTCGGTGCCAGCGGTATGGAAGAGGGGTCATGCTGCTGGCTGCATTGACAAGCGAAAGTACGGGGGCGAGAAGCCTGCCGCGCCTTGTACGGGAAGAAGAGTCACGTTTGGGCCCCGGGAAGCTGTAGGCACCACTGTGGCAAGCGAAGACACCGAGCGAGACTCCCGTCGCGCCTCATGCATCCAGCAAGCCGAGACGACATCGATGCCTCCACAGAAGGCGCATCGCGTGCCTCTTCTCGTACGTCTGTGCGCCGCAGGCCCAAGGCATTTCGAATGCTGGTTTACAGCAGAAAACGCCATGGAAAGCAGTGGCACTCCTTGTGACGATCGCTCTTCGGTACCTGCGGCATGGAAGAAGGGTCACGCTGGCCAGCCGCAGGCACCGCTGTGGCAAGCGAAGGTACGAAGTGAGAGGCCTGTCGCGCTTCGCGCAGCCAGCCCGCTCCGCGGGCCCAGCTGGGACCCTTGTCAGGCCAGATCCCGCTGTTGACAGGCCGTTGGAAGCACGGCCCCAGGCTGCACCGCACACCCCAGAACCTAACTTGTACATTCATGAACAGTCGCCGCCGTCATCTGACGCGTTCCTCGTCGACGTTGCGCCGTACAACTGTGGCTGAGGCGGGTAGCAGACTCCCAGTTGCCCGTGTCAAAAAACATTCATCGATATGCCAATGTTGGGGGCCGTACAATCTGGGCGGAAGCGGGGCGACTCGGAGACTCTTTGAACTGGAGGCTTCACAGTGAGGCCAGACCAGATCGGCGTGACGCAGGTGGAGATCGGGCTCTCGCACACTGCAGGTGTTCTGTGCCCAAACGTTCATAGAGACAAGGCCGGGTCGATGTGACACGGTTTTGATTCACACAGCAGCCGTCTCAGGGACGACGACGTCTGATCAACATTTCATTCACAACCTTCATTGCTAGTACAACCCATGCTCCAGCCGAGCTACGCAGGCCCGAGCCCGTTCGTATTGAACAACACCTTCCCGATCTCCGCCTTGAGCGCCGCATCTGTGGCCGCATCGCGTGCGCTCGTGAGGTGGGCCTGGATGCCCTGGTACAGTGCATCGGGCGAGATCGGCTGCGGGGGCGCGTCGGGCTTGTTCGGGTCGGCAGGCGGGAAAAACTCGAAGCAGGGCGCGGCAAAGCGGCCGGGCGTGATCTCCTGCTTGACGAGCACGTGCGCCGTCGGCGAGAGCACGGCGACCATGATGCGGTGGATGTTGCGGAGCACCTGCGCGCGCCGCGGCGCATCGAGTCCCGCCTGCGTCCAGTAAGTGTCGATCGTCTGCAGCAGGTAGCAGTAGGACGCGTTCAGCGCGAGTGAGAGCTAGCGTGTGCGGGGCCGCGTCAGTGTCAGTTTGCGCGCAGACGCGAAGGGTGGGCAAGGTGGGCACCCGGCGACTTACGTTGTAGGCGACGTCGTGGCCGGTGTACTTGGCCGTCGACGGCTCGTCGACGTACGCGGTGCACGTCCACTCGGTCTGCATCTGGTAGAGCTCGACGAAGATGGCGTAGTGCGACTCGGGCACGGCGATGCTGCCCTCGCCCTGGTCGACGATGGTCTCGAGCGCCTCGAGCGCCGTGCGCTCGTCCCGGACGACGGTCATCTTGCTGTCGAAAAAGTCGTCGCCGCGGAACTGCTGCTCGGGGTTGCTCGTGAACGGGTTCTGGCCGTCCTTGCAGAGGGCGCGGATGCCTGGAGGGCGTGCAACGCGGATCAGGTTTCGGCGTGCCAGGAATTGGTCAATGGCAAGGGTTTACCGTGCTCGAGCTCCTTGTAAAACTCGCCAATGCTGTTGTATCCCGGGAGTACTGCGATGCGTACTGCGAGCCCATCGGGAGGAGGCAGCTCAGGAGGCTTCATGTAAGGCGCCTCGATCTGCAGGAATTGTCAGTCTGCGGGGTCTTTGTGAGCTGTCAGGGAACGGCCTGCCTTGAGGAAGCATTCGAGATTCTCTTTGTTCGCTGGCTGGAGCTTCATGTCGACCTTGTCAAAGAGGATCTGGCTTGGATAGGTGGGCATGAAGTTGTTATCATACAGCTTCTGGGTGCCGTCGAGAGCGCGTAACATGTTGCCGGCAAGGGAGAGGTGCAGCATCTCTTGCTCGGCGACGGCTGCAAGAAAGCATTGGGTCAGGATAAGGGAGGGCGTTGTGCGGTGAGAGAGAGAGAGAGAGACCCATGATGTTGCTGCGTGCCTTTGTGCCCCATTGGCCATCGTCAGGGTGGATGCTGTAGAGAGCGCAGAAGTAGATGGGCAAGGTGCCCAGCTCGACTTGCATGCCCTGAGCAAGCGGAGAGTCAGAAAAATTAGCAGGGCAGCGGACAGCGGCGGGACTGACTGTCTTGACATGGGCTATGAGGTCAGCCTTGGTCCACGTCGAGGGTGCTCTTTCGACAGGGCCATTGTATTTGCTTGCATCGACCGAGTCGGCAGCTTGAGGGGCGGAGTGAGCCGACATGGCTTGAGGCCTGGTTGGTGCACGAGCAGGTGCTCGCCAGGTTGCGGGGTGCCAGTGAACATATAGCTGGTGCTGGTCGCGGGATTCGACCGAGTTGGTGATGCCACCTGGAATTTGCGCCCCAGATGTGGCGTCTTCGCCTTCTGTGCTGGGAGTAACACGGACGTCGCTGGGATGACGTCCAGGGGCTGCAAGGTCCGCTCACGTGCAGCCTCGAACGCGAGCACGCGGACCCTACCGTGGTGGTGGTGGTGGTCAGGGTCGCCAGGTGCTGACCTATCGCACGCACTGGATTGGCTGGGGCGCAGAGAGACCCTTGGCATCATGGCCAGACGGAAGCTTAAAGCTTAACCTCAGGGCCCTTCTTCGCATTCAAAGCGGCGATGCGATAATCTTCAGTCCCAGTTTACTTTTCCATGGCTGCTCGGGTCGCGTCTCGCCCCTTTGACGGCACGTAGCTGTCCCATGCCCTTCATGCTGCCACGCAGCCCTCAGCTGACACCCAGCCAGTGGTCATCGTCGGTGCGGGTCCCGCCGGCTGTGCGACTGCTCTTGCCCTAGCGAGAAACGACCCCTCGACCAGCCTCCGAGTCCTTCTGCTGGACGATGCCGACCCGACAGCCTACAAGGTGCGTCCGCCGTCGTCAGCCTCGAACATCCTATCCACAAACACCACCCCCCCCCCCCCCCCACGATCGGCGAGAGCCTCCCCGCGTCCGCGCGGCGCACCCTCGCGACGCTCCACCCCTCGCTGAACGCGACGCTCGCACAGGACACCCTCCAGGGCCTGCACCACGTCTGCACCGGCACCGCGTCCGCCTGGGCCGGCGCGGCGCTCCAGGAGACGTACGCCCTCATGAACCCCTACGGCGCCGGCTGGCACCTCGACCGCGCCCGCTTCGACGAGACCCTCCGCGCCGCGTGCGCGCCTGTCCTGCGCAAGGCCCGCTTCGTGGCCGTGCGCCGCTGCACGGACGGCGGCGCGTGGGAGGTCGACGCCGAGATGGCGCCGGAGGGCGCCGTCGAGACGTTCCGCGCACGTTGGGTCGTGGACGCGACCGGCCGGAAGGCGAGCGTCGCGCGCAAGGTAAAAAAAAAAAAACCATGTCCCCCCTCCCCCCTAGCCCCGTACTTCACTGACACCACATCCCCCACCTGCAGCTCGGCGCCAAGACCCACAAGCACTCGGACCTCCTCTCCTTCTACGCGCTCTTCACCACGCCCGCCGGTGCCGCACCAACACCCGACAGCGACGGCCGCACGCTCATCGAGGCCGCGCGCGCAGGCTGGTGGTACACCGCGCCGCTGCCGCACGCGCGGCGGCTCGTGATGTACACGACCGCGCCGACGGACGCGAGCGCGCGCGCGGCGCGTGGTGCCGCGGGCTTCGCGGACATGCTCCGCACCGAGACGCGGCACGTCGCGCGGGCGCTCGGGGGCGCGAGCTCCGACATCGACATCGACATCGACGACACCGACGAGGAAGAGGCACGGGTGGAGTACGAGATGGAGGAGCAGACGCGCTTCGTGCGGCACACGAGCGCGTGCTCGGCCGTGCTCGCGCCGTACGCCGCCTGGGAGCCGCACGCAGGCGCAGGTGATGGTGACCGTGGCGAAGCGCAGAAGCAGGAGGGACGCGGATGGTGCGCCGTCGGCGACGCCGCGCTCGCGTTCGATCCACTCTCGTCCCAAGGCATCGTCACCGCGCTCGACGCGGGCGCGTTCCTCGGCGGCGTCCTCGCGCGCCACCTTGGCACTGCGGAGGGAGGGCCCCTCGGCGGCGAGGGTGCGGTGCGGGCGGTTCACGAGGCATATGAGCGCGTGCGTGCAAAGTATGAGGAGGGAAGGGCGTACTATTATGGTGTCGTGAGGCGGTTTGATAAGGGTGGTGGTGGTGAGGAGGAGGAGGAACAGGGGAAGGGGTTTTGGGAAAAGTTAAGGGGAGAGTGAGGGTCTGGTTAGCTTTGGACGGTCCTTCCGTGCTGCCATGCCATCCAACTGTGCAATCACAAATTCAGTCGCTTTCGTTGCTTACATAGGTGACTGTAGACGCGAACAGACAAGTCTACGAGCTAGCACTCCCATCACGCCTCTGCGCACCAAAAGCCCCCCTCGCGTCACCACCCGCCAACACCCCTGACCACAACATCCAAGCACTTCCGGAGGTGCCCCCGCGTCTCGCCGACCGCCCACTCCGCGTCATCCTCACGCCCGCCCCCGCCGCTGTTGCCGCCGCCGCCGTTGCCGCCAGCGCTCTGCGCGCGGAAAAACGGCACGACGCACGTCTGCGCGAGCGCACCGAAGAGGTCCTCGAGGACCCACGCGAGGCGCGCGCCCGTCATCTCGACCGCGGGCTCGGCGTTCAGCTCGAGCAGGCTCACGTGGAAGCGCCGCCCGTCGTGAACGTGGTGGCCGTGGTTGCGGTTGCGGTGGTGCGTGACGAGGAAGTCGACGCCGAAGAGCTCGAAGGCGTTCGGGAGCGGCTGCGTGGGCGTGCGCGCGCGTGTCAGTGCGGGTTTTTGCATTTGGGCGGCAAGAGGCATGAAAAAGAAAGAGAGAAAGAAAAACAACCGACGCGACGCGACGCACCTGGAAGTGCACGCCCGTCCCGAGCGCAGCGGCGAACGCCGCGCCGAGGAGACGCGCGGCCTGGTCCGTGATGTCCGCGACGTCCTGCGGCGTCACCGTGCCCTCGCCTTCGTTGTCGGCGCCCAGGGCGCGGCAGCCGACGAGCTCGGCCAGCAGCCGGACGGACGCGTCTGCGCCGTGGTCGGCCTGCAGACACGTGTTCGTGAGGTGCGCCGCGAGGTCTGCGTTCGGGTCTGCCGCGGTGGCGGCGGCGCTGGGCGGTGCGTAGGGCACGGAGGCGAAGAGCGCGAGGATGCGGTCGTAGAGGAAGACGCGCAGTGCGCCGGAGGCGGCGCAGTACACGCGGAGGTGGAACTAGGGAAGGGTGTGTGTGTGTGTGTGTGTGTGAGACGGGAGAGGGGTGTGTCTGAGGGACGAGGAGCGTACGTGCCTTGTGGCCCTTGAGGTCTGGCGGGTCGGCTGCCGGTGGCGATCCGTCCAGTGGGATCTGAGCGGGGTCGATGAGGAGCGGTCTTTCGAGGTATTCCTTGTGATGTAGTTGTGTTATATAAATGTGCAAAAGATGAAAGCCACTTGTGCCACCGACCTGGATGACAAAATGCCGAAGCTGGGACGTGACGACGCCAGTGCCAGTCCCGTCGTGCCCAGGCGCCCGATCTGCCCGTTGATCGTCCTCGTCCTCTTCTTCTTCATCTTCGTCGTCGTCGTCGTCGTCGCCGTCTTCAAACTCTGCGAAGATGCCCTCGAGCTGCGCTTTCGTGTGAAAGAGGCGTATGCCCATGCCGCGGTCCGCCATGCCGGGCTTGAGGATCATCCACCTGCCGGCGCCCCTGTCGAGCTCTGCGCCGAGGTCCCAGAGCTCGTCGGCCCACATCTCGTCGAGCTCGTCCGCGAACTGGAGCTCGATGTCCCACGTCCGCGGGACGCCGGTGCTGAGCGGCGAGTCCGGGTGCTTGACGCAGTGCTGGTGTGCGCTGCGCGAGAGAAAGTGCTTGCGGATGAGCGCCTTGCGGATCGTGTACGCGGAGGTGAGCACCCGCGTCGAGCGCGGGTGGCGGAGCGTCAGCTCGTGGACTGTGTCGTCGTACGTCGACCACTGGAGGACGTCTCGGGCTGCGATGTCCTCGGGGAGCTTGTCTGCGTGGATTTCCAGAGCCAGCCCAGACTTTTGGAGTGCGTCGAGGACGAGGCTGTTTGTGAGCGGCGCCGACGGCCATTTGACGAGGGCGAGGACGGGCGGCGCTGCCATTTTTGTGGGCACGACGCAGGCGGGGGATGGCGCCAATCACAAGGTCTTTGTGGCGTTTCTGACTCTCACGCCCGCGCCGACGCCGACGACCGACCTCCGTGACCCGCAGCCATGGGTCCCGCCTACATCTTCTCGCTCACCCCGACCTTCACCCAGGGCCTCGTCCTCGGCCAGCTCTCCATCCTCTGCCTCCTCCTCCTCGTCCTCAAGTACCTCTTTCTCGACCCCGTGTCCATCCAACCCTACAAGGCAACGTCCTACCAACCGCGCATCGTCAGGGAGGACGACGACTCCGAGACCAGGCCCGAGGCTGGCGTGAGGGCCGAGGCGGATGGCACCGCAGGACAGAGCGAGGGCATGGAGAGCGCGGGGTGGCTGAACGTGTTGCTTCACCATGTGCGTACTGCCACTGTTTCACGCGGCACACACACCCCCTTCACGCGACGTCCTTGCCCCAGGTCGTCGACTCGTATCGCTCAAAGCTGAGAAACGACAGCCCCGGCTCTGAAGGAGACGAGATCGTCCGGCGGCGCGTAGAAGAGTTTGCGAACAAGATGCGCCCGCCAGGCTTCCTGGTATGTCCTCCCCAGCTCGTTCCGTGCGAACCCTCCTCACCCCGCCCAAGGACCCAATCAAAGTACATTCCGTGGATCTTGGTCGCTCCGCACCACGGCTGTACCGTGCGCGCCCCCGAGCGATGAACGCCCCGCTCTCCGAACCGGTCAGCACCCAAAATCACATGCAAAACTGACGACCGTCCAACAGCTCACCCTGCCCGTGCCCCTCTAGCAAATCGAAGTGGACATGCACTACACCGACACCATCTCGATATCCTTCTCAACGTCCGTGCTGCTGAACTACCCCTTCCCGTCCTTCGCGCGGCTCCCAGTCTCCCTCACGATCTCCCTGTCCGTCTTCTCCGCGACGGTACCATTTTCGTCCTCACCGTCTCCCACACGAACTACGCTCAAGTTTTTTTTTTTTTTTTTCGTCAGGTCCTGCTCACCCCACCCCAGCCCCACGCCGAGCACCCCACGCTGACGATCACGCTGCCCTCGCCCCAGACCGAGCTCGTCCTCGACCTGAAGACGACCTCGCTCATGGGCAGCCGCGCCAAGCTCGCGGACGTCCCGAAGCTGCACGAGCTCATCACCCACCAGGTGCGTCTTCACGCCCCGTGCACGGCCGTATGTCCCCCGCTGCCGCTGACGCCGCCGCCACACAGATACGCCGGGTGATCATGGAAAAGGGGTCCCTCAAGGTCGTCCTGCCCGGCCTCGCCACCGTGCACGAGGTCGAGGAGGACATCAAGCGCGAGCACGAGTTCGCGAGGTCATAGAGGCCGGCGCTCACCCCTCGTCCGCGCTACGATACCTGTGCCCGTTCGATTCACTTTACAATTAGACCTTGTATTTTGCCGACAGGGCTGGATGTATTTTAATATCCTTCGTCCTTCTGTTTGCTCTCCGTTTTATATACATTGTTGTTTCAGTTTATCGAATTTTTTGGTGCGGCAGCTAATGGTACTTTTTGCCGCTGTTTCTGGCGTAGCTCTCTGGTCGTGGACAAGCGCAAAACAGCGACCAGTGACGCGCAGCGCGAAAACCGGCAGTCTCCCCGTGAGTGACCCACGAAAAGCTCTGCTTCTCGCTCTCGTGTACTTCACGCGCGGACTTCCATCGCCCTTCAAGTTTGGTTGTTTATTATTATTATTATTATTATTATTATTAAAATCTAGCCCAAACACGAGAACGCGGTGCGAGACAAAATGAAATTATTCGTCCAGACTGAAGACTTCCAACCTTTCCGACATCGTCTTGGACTGCTCAACGGAGCGCTTGATCAGGTCTACAGCCGTTTCAGAACGAGGTTGCACGGACACCTTGAATGGCAGAGGGCCGCTACAAAAAATACTTGAGCGCGATTTTCACGCACGATGAGTCTTGGAACTCACTTGATGGCTCCGGGGGTGTCTTCCACCTTGGGCTCGATGACGTTTCCTCTCGAATCGCGCGCTTTCGTGATGTCGAACGTCGCCAAGGTGGTTGCCATCCACACAAACACATTCGCTTGCGCGACCAGTATCCCCGGACAGCCACTGACACCCAAACGTCAGCACATCTCTTGCAGAGGGAGTGAACAGCACGTCACCGTCGACCATAGCCAAAGGCGTCGTCGAGACAATCAGGTGCTCCTTCCTCCGAGAACCGCTCCGGGATGAACTTGTCGGCGTCGTGATACACGCTTTCGTCGTGCATGATAGCCCTGTTGTGCCACGTACCAGATCAGCGCGAAGGATAGAGGTGACCTCGGCCGAAACGCTCACCAGATATTGGCGATCAGCATCGTCTTGGCTGGAATGAAGTAGCCTCGATACTCGTCGTCCTTGCTCACAGCATGTGGCACTGAGCCATAATCAGCGTTAGAATTATTGCGCCCTCGCGGAAAGCGGCCTGTCACACCTAATTTAGCAGGTGGTTGCCACCTAAACACTTCTTTCATCACGGCAAAGACATATGGCAGCGAATCCTTGTCCTCGATTCGCGGCAGTCGCTCATTGCCGACGACTTTGTCGATCTCGGCTTGTGCCTTGGCTTGAACTTCCGGATAGAGCGCCATCGCCATGAAGAACCACGAGAGGACAATTCTTGTCTGGAGCTCGGCAATAAGTACAAGACAGCGCGAGCGAGGCTCAAAGCGTACCGTATCTATCTGTCCCAGGAGAATGCCTACAGCAGAGTACTTGATGCAATCTTCCACCTCTGGATCTCCCTGCGCGTGTTGCAGTAGCATCGAAGTAAATGATGCACCAGCTGTTCCTGCTCTCTGTCAAGATATCAGTACTGTGTCTGGCTGCGCCGAAAAAAGTGAGCTGACCATATGACGTTTCGTCTCCTCAAAGGGTTTGTTAACACACTTGAGGATGAAGGGTTTCGCGCGTGCTGAATATCGCTTGAAGTATGCGAGCGGAAACCACTGAGGGACATGTCTCACTTTATGGTCATTGTCAGTTCTCGATCGACACATATATGGTGTGACATACGGATCGGGAACATGTCCACAAACCATACCCCAAGTACAGTTGTCTCCATGAAGTAAAGGTGATCTTTGTGCGCGAGATCATGCAACTCGTCGTCCTCCGCGATGCCATCGTAGCCATATGCGATCTTCATCGAGATGGCCCCTGAATTTCTGCGAGTGGCTGTCAGCAAGCTGTGGCCGGAGTTACCAACGTCACGGTGACGCACCGCCTGAAGATGTCAGTGAAATCATGGGGCCTTTCCAGCAGGTCTCGTAGGTAGAATGCGCATTGGCGGTTCAAGAAAGGCACAAAGCTTCGCACGGCGCTTGGGCCGAGGCCCTTGCGCAAGAGTTTCCTGCAGTTGCGGAAGCGAGGGGTGTTGTTCGACAAGACAATTACGCCATCCCAGCCCATTCTACATAGTATCAGCTTTTAGGTATGCGCCCCCTGCCAAGTGAAACAGGGAGCACGTACAACTCTGTGGCCATAACAAGGTGGGGCCGGTCAGAATAGATAGACGATCTGCTATCGAAGAGATCGAATATTGCCTTGCGCGAATTGAGAATCATGAAGGTCGTTCCTGGCACGCGAAGTGTCGTGATATCACCTGCGACCAGTCGGCAGTTAGGTCTGAGCCCAAGCCAGACTCGATCATAAGACTTACCGTAGATGTGACCGAGGTTCTGGAAGGCAACATATTGCTTCGTGGCGGGAATTTGCAGCAGGTTGCCTAAGATTGGGAGACCTGGTGGCCCAGGCGGAAGATGGTTCGCTTTTTTGCGCCATGAATCAAACACGAACACAAGTATAATTACTGTTGCGGCAGTTGCAGCGATATCCAGAAGCAATGTCATGATGGATGCGAGGAGAGTAAAGGAACTTGCCCAACATGTTGCTTCCGTGGGGTGCCTTAAGCTGAAACATGTTGATGAGACACGATCTGGTACGAGAGATGACAGATACATGATACTGTGCGTGAAACGCGTCGCTGGGTTTCAGTTTACTGAATTGTTGATCTGGCCGCTAACGATAATTTTTCTGGCGTAATTCTCTGGTCGTGGATAAGTGCAAGACAGTGACCAGCGATGAGGTGATGCTGAGACAATCGAACGCACGGCCCAAAAATGGGCAGTCGTCTCCGCGTTTGTGCTTCACGCACGGACTGCCATCGCCCTTCAAGTTTGAATGAAAAACACTTGGTCCAAACAGAATGCAGACGCGAACACGGGTGCAAGACAAAATGAAACTATTCGTCCAGACTGAAGACTTCCAACCTTTCCGACATTGTCTTGGACTGCTCAACGGAGCGCTTGATCAGGTCTACAGCCGTTTCAGAACGAGGTTGCACAGACACCTTGAAAGGCAGAGGGCCACTACAAAAAATACTTGAGCGCGATTTTCACGCGCGATGAGTCCTGGAACTCACTTGATGGCTCCGGGGGTGTCTTCCACCTTGGGCCCGATGACATTTCCTCTTGAATCGCGCGCTTTCGTGATGTCGAACGTCGCCAAGGTGGTTGCCATCGACACAAACACATTCGCTTGGGCGATGAGTATCCCCGGACAGCCCCTGCGGCACACGGAGTTCAGTGCATCTCCCGCAGAGGGGTTGGACGGCGCGTTACCGTCGACCATAGCCAAAGGCGTCGTCGAGACAGTCTGGTGCTCCTTCCTCCGAGAACCGCTCCGGGATGAACTTGTCGGCGTCATGATAGACGTTCTCGTCGTGCGTTATGGCCCTGTTGTGCCGTGGACCAGATCAGCGTGAAGGATAGAGGTGACCTCTGCCGAGACACTCACCAGACATTGGCGATCAGCGTCGTCTTGGCTGGAATGAAGTAGCCTCGATAGTCGTCGTCCTTGCTCACAGCATGTGGCACTGCGCAACAGTTAGCGTCAGAGGTGCGCCCTCGCGGAAAGCGGCCTGTCGCACCCAGTTTAACAGGTGGCTGCCACCTAAACACTTCTTTCATCACGGCAAAGACATATGGCAGGGAATCCTTGTCCTCGATTTTCGGGAGCCGCTCGTTGCCGACGACTTTGTCGATCTCGGCTTGTGCCTTGGCTTGAACTTCCGGATAGAGCGCCATTGCCATGAAGAACCACGAGAGGGTAGCTATTGTCTGGAGCTCAACAATGAGCATAGGGCAGTGCGAGGGAGGCTAAAAGCATACCGTATCTATCTGACCTAGGAGAATGCCTATAGCAGAGTACTTGATGCAATCTTCCACCTCTGGATCTCCCTGCGCGTGTTGCAGCAGCATCGAAGTAAATGATGCGCCGGCCGTTCCTGCTTCCTACCAGGATGTAAGCACGTAGTCCGACCGCGCAGAAAAGAGCGAGCTGACCATATGCCGCTTCGTCTCCTCAAAGGGTTTGTTAACACACTTGCGGATGAAGGGTCTCGCGCGTGCTGCATATCGCTGGAAGTATGCGAGTGGAAACCACTGGGGCACATATCTCACTGCATGGTCATCGCCGGTTCTCGACCGACGCGTATATGGTGTGACGTACGGATCGGGAGCATGTCCACAAGCCACACTCCAATTACAGTTGTCTCTATGAAGTAAAGGTTGCCTCTGAGCGCGAGATCGTGCACCTCTTCGTCCTCCGTGATACCATCGTAGCCATATGCGATCTTCATCGAGATGGCCGCTGCATTCCTGCGAGTAGCTATCAGCAAGCCGTGGCCGGAACTACTAATGTGACCCACCGCCTGAAGATGTCAGTGAAGTCATATGGTCTTTCCAGCAGGTCTCGTAGATAGGATGCGCATTGGCGGTTCAAGAAGGGCACGAAGCTCTGCACGGCGCTTGGGCCGAGACCCTTGCGCAAGAGCTTCCTACAGTTGCGGAAGCGAGGGGTGTTGTTCGACAAGACAATTGCGCCTTCCCAGCCGATTCTGCATAGCATCAGCTCCAAGGTACGCGTCGACTGCCAAGGGAAACAGGGAGCACGTACAGCTCTGTACCCATAACAAGGTGGGGCCGGTCAGAATAGATAGACGATCTGCTATCGAAGAGATCGAATATTGCCTTGCGCGAATTGAGAATCATGAAGGTCATTCCTGGCACGCGAAGTGTCGTGATATCACCTGCGAAAAATCCGCCGTTAGGCCTGAGCCCAAGCCAGACTCGATCATAAGACTTACCATAAATGTTACCGAGGTCCTGGAAGGCAATGTATTGCATTGTGGTGGGAATTTGCAGCAGGTTGCCTAAGATTGGGAGACCTGGTGGTCCAGGCGGAAGATGGCTCGCTTTCCTGCGCCATGAATCGAATATAAACGCAAGTACAATTACTGTTGCGGCAGTGGCAGCGATGTCTAGAAGCGACAGCATGGCGAGAGCGAGGAGAGCAGGCGCAACTTGCCCAGCATGTTGCTCCCGCAGGGTGCCTTAAGTACTTCCGAAACATGTTGAGACAAAACACCATCCGGCACGCTGACTGATCTTTTCAGAAGAGCGGACGCATACGCGAATACCGTGCGTGAAGCGCGTCGCTGGGGTCCGCCTTGAGTCCGCCCCTGCAGGTTGGACAGCCTTGTCCGACTAAACGATTTGCAACCTCCATATAGTACAACTAAGACCTCGCGCGCCAGCTGTAGTAAGAAGGACAGCGCAGGCGAAGCCAAGCGAAGCTTCCTCCGATTAGTCGCTATCACCTTGAAGTTTTTACTACACTCAACTCCAATTGAATTCGAGTAACAACTTACAAATAGACTACAGTTTTTCGTGCTCCATATATTGACATCACGTGTGCGACACCGCCATCGCCGCCGTCGCCGCCATCAGATGTTCTTGCCCGGCAGTTTGGACTGGACTTACGCGTGCTCGCGCCCAGAGCTCAGGCTATCACCTTCCTAACGCACATGCACAAGCCAGATGTAAGCGATGGCACACCTGGATGCCTCTTGAGACGAGGGCTGTGCTGCAGACTTTGCGCTATCCGGCAGGGCACCAGCCTCCACGAGAAGCCAAGATGTCTGCGCGAACATAAACATACTGGAGCGTCGGCGAGCATGCCAAAGCCACCAGCGCTTAGGCTTCTTCAGCCGCAGGCTCGCACACATCAGGAAACCCTCAAAGGTGCGGACAAATGCACTTACTCTTGGAGGTCCCGGAGCATGCCGGACCTTGATGGGATGATGGCGCTTGCCGGTGAACTTTGATGGAAGAATGACCAACGTGCTCAAAATTCGTGGGCGCTGGGATGTGGACGGCGCGGACAGCGCGGAGAGTTCTGTTCTGAAACATCCCGCAGCTAATAAACATGTCTTTTCACCGCCTTTTCTGGCATGGATCCTTGTCGTGACTCAGTCCGAGGGGCACCGATTGGTAACGCGGCGATGTTGGGATCCTAGAGGAATATGTCAGCAAAACTTAGCCATGAAAAACCCGCTTCGTGTGCTTCGCGCATGGATCATTGCCTCCATCGTTTGCTGAAGCTGTGAGATATTTATCTCCAGCTTAAGCTCAGGGACCGGTCTACACCAGTTTGAAAGCCACTCAAAGAGCGTGACGACTACGCATCCTGATTCGGCATAGACCCAACTCATCCTTGTTTACAGTGTGAAACGCGCGTCCTTCGAGTTGAGCCGAAGAAACATGGTTAAAGCAGGACGCAGACGCGAAACATGAGTAGCCGGTGCGAGCCAAGTGAGCCTATGCGTCCAGACTGAAGGCCTCTAGCCTTTCCGACAGTGTCTTCGAGTGCTCAACGGAACGCTCGATCAAGTTTACAGCCGCTTCGGAACGAGGTTGCAGAGAAACCTTGAACGGCAGAGGGGAGCTACAAAGACAATTGAGCGCCGTATCTATGCATGATGGAGTCCCACAACTTACCTGATAGCTCCGGGGGTGTCTTCCACCTTGGGCTCTATGATTTTTCCCCTTGCATCGCGCGCTTTCGTGATGTTAAACGTTGCCAGGGTTGCTGCCATCGACACGAACACATGCGCTTGCGCGACGAGTATCCCCGGACAGCCGCTGCGGCACATGGAGGTCAGTGCATCTCCCGCAGAGGGGTTAAACGGCGCGTTACCGTCGACCAAAGCCAAAGACGTCGTTCATACAGTCGGGTGCTCCCTCTTCCGAGAACCGCTCCGGAATGAACTTGTCGGCGTCATGATAGACGTTCTCATCGTGCGTGATAGCCCTGTTGCGCCGCGTACCAGATCAGCGAAGAATAGTGACGATCTCAGCCGGGACACTTACCAAACATTGGCGATGAGCGTCGTCTTGGCTGGAATGAAGTAGCCTCGATACTCGTCGTCCTTGCTCACAGCATGTGGCACTGAGCCATAACCAGCGTTAGAATTATTGCGCCCTCGCGGAAAGCGGCCTGTCACACCTAATTTAGCAGGTGGTTGCCACCTGAACACTTCTTTCATCACGGCAAAGACATATGGCAGGGAATCCTTGTCCTCGATCTGCGGGAGTCGCTCGTTGCCGACAGCTTTGTTGATCTCAGCTTGTGCCTTAGCTTGAACTTGTGGATGCAGAGCCATTGCCATGAAGAACCACGACATTATAGCTGTTATCTGGAGTATAACAATGAACACTGGGTAATGCAAGGGAGGCGAAAGGCACACCGTATCCAATGCACCCAGAGATATGCCCGCGCCGGAGTACTTGATGCAATCTTCCGCCTCTGGATCTCCTTGTACGTGTTGCAGTAGCATCGAAGTAAACGATGCGCCGGCTGTTCCTGCTTTCTATCGAGATATCAGTACAGTAGCTGGCCGCACAAAAAAGAGTGAGCTGACCATATGCCGTTTAGTCTCCTCAAAGGGTTTGTTGATGCACTTAAGAACGACAGGTTTCGCGTGTGCTGCATATCGCTGGAAGTATGCGAGAGGAAACCACTGGGGCACATATCTCACTGCATGGTCATTGCCAGTTCTCGAACAACGCGTATATGGTGTGACGCACGAATGGGAAGCATATCCACAAGCCACACTCCAACTATTGCTGTCTCCCCAAAGTAACAATTGCCCTTGTGTGCGAGATCATGCATCTCTTCGTCCTCCGCAATGCCATCATAGCCGTATGCAATCTTCATCGAGATAGCTGCCACGTTCCTGCGAGTAGCTGTTAGCAAGGCTGTAACCAGAACCATTGATGTGATGCACCGCCTGAAGATGTCAGTGAATGCGTCGGGTCTTTCGAGCAGATCTCGCAGGTAGAACGCGCTTTGGCGGTTGATAAAAGGAACGAAGCTTTGCACAGCGCTTGTGCCGAGACCTTTGCGCAAGAGCTTCCTGCAGTTGCGGAAGCGAGGGGTGTTGTTCGACAAAACAATTGCACCATCCCAGCCGACCCTGCACAGCGCCAGCTCTTGAGTATGCGTCATCTTCAAGGAAACAGGACATACGTACAAATCCGGACACATAACTGCGTGAGGCCGGTCAGAATAGATAGACGATCTGGCATCAAGGAGGTCGAATATAGCCTTGCGGGAATTAAGGATCATGAAGGTGAGTCCTGGCACGCGAAGTGTTGTGATGTCGCCTGCGACCGGTTCACTTTAGACTTGTGCCCAAAATAGAGTTAATCATAAACCTTACCGTAGATGTTACCGAAGTTCCGGAAGGCAACGTATTGCTTCTTAGTGGGTATTTGTAGCAGATTGCCTAAGAATGGCAGACCTAGTGGCCCGGGAGGGAGATAGTTCGCTTTCCTACGCCATGAATCGAACATGAACGCGAGTATAATCCCTGTCGCGGCAGTGGTGGCGATGTACACAAGTGACAGCATGGTGGGTGCGAGGAGAGTGAGCGGAAATTGACCAGCGTGTTGCCCGCGCACGGGGCGCTTCAAGTCGAGCTGATACCGTGGTATTCGCCAATATCCAACCTCCGAAAAGACATTGCATCAGAGCGTGCCATTTCGAGTGATGTCGGTATCATATTGGTCTGGAAGGATTTCTCTGAGCAGGCTGTAGAACACGTTTAAGTGCGCAGATGCCTGCCACCGTGAATCTCGTGCGTGAAACACGTCGCTGGGGTCCTCCCACGCCAATTCTGTAGGTCGAACAGTCTCCACATACAGTAGCAAAGCCAAGATCTCAACCAGCTGCAGCAGGGAGAAAGCAGACGAAGCCGATCGGGGGCTCCCACTCCGATTCGAAAGCTCTTACCAGCACCACAGCTTACAAGGTGTCCGCAGCCGGTGAAGCAGCCGGTGAAGCGCTCTGTCCCCCCGCTGTATTCATCGACTCTATCAGTCGCAATCCGCATTCTTTGAAACGATTGGGAGGTGAGTCATTCAGGATAGGGAATATCTAGCCACTAACCAGGACATGCTGTGCCAGTGTTTGAAAGCGGCTATCGAAGGTGACAAATCACGATCATGCTGGGATGATATCAGGAGGCTGGCAACTGTCAGGCGCGCTGTTCGCAGCTTATTTAACTACCTTTTAGAGCTATTAAGCGTCACCAGAGCCCTCGCAATGCTTCATATCAGATGCCATCTATGCGCAAGACAAGCAATACAGCAGTAGGTAGTACTGTATCTACGGGTATCTAGATTTATCTTCCATTCATTAATTGCTCCATAATAGTAGCTTGACCCTCTCAGGACTCCCATGTTATCGAACACTTCACTGACTGAATACGCAGTTCGCTTGAACAAATCATCCTGCTCTCGTTCTTTACGTGGGGTCATCCGGTGTTCTATCACACTACCAGAGGCTCCATTTGTCTTTTCATTCCCACTCCTGGTACAGTACTCCGAAGGTTAAGTCCACCGGCCACCGTCAACATTAGATTCTGTAGAATCAGGCTACACTGGTCTGAAGAGTACGGATCTCCCCAAGTGTCACACCCTGATGTATACCTCGCTGGACAACATGCCCTTGTACGTACTGGTCTGCGTAGTCCTACACAGCACAGACCGGCAGGTTGTTCTGACAAGAGGCATTTTTCCAAATCTAGATATTCCTCAGGATTGCATAGCATCACTTGCAGTCTTCAATCTCGTGGATTACATCACACTTGGCTTAGGTGCCGCTTGTGTGAGAAAAAAGATAGCAGCAGTAGTCCACTTGTGAGTACATCTTCTATCTCTTCGTATACATCCTCCGTTCAAAGTGAATCCTCTTGTTTACATCCTTTGGATGAGATCACTCGGTTGTTCACCTCTGCCTAAAGTTCCATTCCGCTTTTCATTTACTCAAACCCACGCAACCCCACCCCAAATGTTCGCCGAAAGATTACATTTGTTGTAGCTTTCGGAACAGAGATCCAGTCATGGATCCCCTGGTGCTGCTGATTCTATGCCTTCTGAGACCATAAATGAAGGGACGCTGTTATGCATCAAGGTTGTCTGCTCAAACTCCTTCGACTCTCTTCGCTCGACAATATGGAGGCTCCGCTGACACCCCCCGAGTCTTTGCTCAATGACACGTTGGGAGCATTCCTCCTAGGAAGCTTTGCACGGGCGATGTGAACTACGTCTTAGTTCACTGGCACGTACTGATATCTGACGTTACACATGTCACAGTCTCTATGGAATCTTCTGTCAGCAGTGTTACACTTTATTCCTCCGATCCACACAGGGAGGAACCATGCTCGAGTATTCTGTAAGCTGCCTTCCTAGCCGTGTCTCGGATGCACTCATGTTATTGGTGTAGGTCTGGGCTCTCATGTAAGGGCTTGCCTGCTCCTTCCACGATTCAAGTTTATGGTCTGCGGTCTCCAGTGCTCTGAGTTCTTTACACGTTGCATTTACCATCCACCCGGTATATATGCGAGCCAACTAGCCCTGTAATGAGTACACCAATCGAGGTGGCAACGGGCTCCTAGTCTTCTCGTCAGCAACACTGGCAAGATCACTATCCCAGGACGGGTGCCTTGGTGCGTCGGACCAACTTTGTGTGTCCAGACAGCCTCCATGCTGATATATTATGAAGGACTGTCGTGGTGCGTGCTCACTTCCCGGCAGTAAAAATATTGAGATGTGACTATGCTGACAGGGTGCTGTCATTACCACTGTCAGCTTCACGCCTACCACTGCCAATATAGCAGCTAATTTTCACACCGTGCAGGTGACAAGTGATCTCGTTGTCCGAAGGTCTGTCTTGACTTCTGTGATCGTTCGGTGTTACAAGCCATACTCATCAAATTTCAGCTGGCTCACGTATCGTGCCTGGATACGTCAGTACTTCGCCGCAAGCGAAGTGGTTTGAATACTGACGTGCCGTTATAATACAGTAAGCGACAAGCGCTTTGTTCTGGTCGTGCCACCCGTACGGTGCTTATATCTTCCATTAAACATCTGGCTAATAAAAAGCTTCGAAGATCATCCTACAACTTCTTGTCATTGGCACGCATCTCATATTTTCACAACAGCTTACATTTTCTAACAGACCTATGGCTGATAGCTTCCGCTATCGGCAAGTCTCCCTTTCGCACACTTCTACGCATAAAGCCCTGTTGAATAAGACTCGCATTAGCCGTCGCAACTCGAGTGTGAGCTGCGTATGATATGCGAGCGATATTCATTGGACAACTAAGTGATTGCACGACAGGCTCATACTGGACACTCTGTACCAACCTCCGGGAGCACTGAATGTAAGCCATCCCAGACGTCAACACTTCGGTCGGCCTAACGAGCTTAGAACCTATTCTACGTAACCCTTGGAGTTATCGTGTTAATAGATCCCTACGTGGCCCTCTGTATATGCTGGTTCATGTATCAGCGGAGGAAACATGCGACGAACCGGTATGGCCTTGGCTCCGAGCCAGGCTTCTCACTACAGCTAGTATCCAAGCTAACTCTTTGCATCAGGACCCGATGATCGCTCTTGAAGACTTTAACGATATACACAATAAACAGTGGGCTTATTACCAGGTAGAGATCATCATCTTTCTTTCCAAACCACTACTGACTTGATACAGCGCTTTTTGGCTCGTCTGTATGATTACGGTGAGAACCAGTTGGAGCATCCCGTAAGACCGGTCTTACTTGGAGCCTGAAGCACATCGTAATGCCATACAACATGATTTTTCTTGCATGTGGGTAAGACTATTAGCAAAATCGCGCCGCGGACTTATCGTCACCTCTACAGTCCTAACGCCGGTGTCCGGACGTGCGTTTCACGATTTTCGCTACTTCACCACTTACCACATTGCTGAAAATTTAGTCTACGAGAACTGCCTGCTAGCGTCGTACGTACCTATCGTTCTGTTACCTTTAGATCTCACATAAGTGTTCTATCTCAGGCTTAACGCACGAGATTGGTTCCGACGTGATATGGGGGCGACAATTATTCAATTGACACCCCTCGGAGAAAGCCCGATCGTCAGACACCTGCCTGGCTTGTCGCACAAGACTACTGCACATGAATCGAGCACCGAATCGCATTCGGTAAGTGTCGCCTTACGATCGGTTGGCGTTTATATGCGAATGTAAATTCTCTTAGGCCGGGAGTGCTTACAAAATGCCGGGGCATGTCGCTATTCAGGTAGAAAGGGAAGAGGCGAAAGTTGTCTTCTGACTCAGGAGGGAGTCATCGACACCGAGGTTGTGGATTCAACGGAGTTGGACAACGAGCAACGCGTGCCACAGGGTTGTGTCTCGCGGAGGGCGTATGTACTCGGATTTAACAAATGACCTATGAGCTGCAAGTGAGCACGGGATAATCAAAAACTTAGGAGAAAGAAGTACTACACGAGTTTTTCGTGTGGCCAAAACCGGACATGTATACTTGCTTAGTGGCTTCAATCCCTCCGAGTCAGCCCTGTCAGGGTTTTGGAGATTGCTAGTGTTTACGAACGAATCAGAGCTTTCCAAGATAAGAAACGAAACGAAACTAACGGTTTAAGACAGTCGCTACCGAGTTTACATAACACACATGGATAGTCATAGACTATCCTGCGATGGCTCCGAAGGCTTGTACCGCAACCGCCGCGAGCGTACGAGGTTTATGGGCCACCCCACGGGACAAACTACCGGGTCTTTAACTTCTGCCCAATCCACGAGAACTCGTACTCGCCTCGAGTGCGGACTTACCTCTCATACTCACCTTCACCCAGAAGGCTTGCAGCCCACCACACACCGTTCCTTAAGGTAATCCACAATAAGCCACGGCGATATATTGGAAGCATCGACAGCACAACAAACAACGGCTACGACTCGGACCGGACCGGCGGTGGATGCCCCTGCATGAGCCTGTTGATTGTGTTCGCACGAAGCGGAGTGTCAGCGAACAGGGCGCGGACGAGGCTGACGAGCTCGCCAATGTCAAAGTCGACGAGCGCGCCCTCCTCGAACAGGTACGAGATGTCCGACATGGACGCTTCCTGCGGCTGAGATCAGCAACAGCACAGCAATGATGAGGCGCGTAACGGGACGGACCATGAGCTCTGAGAGGTACGAGAATTTGAGCCAGGAGGGCACATAGGCCACTACGAAAGAAGGCTGTGATCGGCGCGTCAGCATGACCACAAATGAGTGCGGGAGGGCTGGTTGGCGTACCTGGCTCGGGTCCTCCACGAATAGACCTTCAAGGGCGTTGAAAATCAGGCAGAGCTCGTTCAGCTTGTGCGACTCGACCTCAGTGATGTCGGGAAGGGCCAAGATGTCCTGTAGGATGCGTGCCAGCGCCGCGTCGACGATAGCCCCAATCGCCTCGTAGTACTTGCTCTTTACTAAGACATTCTGGAGGACAAGCGTCAGGCGCTAAGAGATGCAGGATGCGAAACTACATGCCTTCGTGTGCTGGGCGAACTTGCGGACGTTCTGCAGCACCTGGCTCACCGCCTCTTCACACTCGTCGAAGCGCGCCTGGTGATTCGTACCGACGAAGCCTTCCGCTTTGTCCAATGTACTATTTATCGAGTCGATTTGCCGACCCTGAGATGGCGATGCATATTAGTAACGGCCAACATGCAGATAAAGGGCACGACCCACGATAGTCTCGTCGTACCAACAATCCGCAAGCGTCTTCGACCGCCGCTGCGCCTCTTCCAGCTTGCTTCTCGTGTTCGGATGCAGATCACTCCGAGCGAGAAGCCTCACGACCTCGGCAGCAAGCCAAAAACAGTCGTTCGAAAAGCCCATCGCGTGCTTTGGCGCAGCCAGCCTTGACGCGCCGACAACGGGGTACAGGCCGCGGTAGAGATCCAGCACCATGGGTGCCGTCTGGCTGGTGATGCCCCCGACCTGCGCTGTCGAGCTGCACGCGTTCGCGTGCAGGACGCCGGAGGCCGTGAGCTCGGCCGCCTCGCTGAGCACCTCGTCCACGAGCCAGAGCAGCTCCCGGACACGCCCGGAGACGAGGTATGTCTCCCTCTCGACCGGCTGCGCCGCGGGGGCTGCGGGCTTCGGCGGTGCCGCTAGCGGGGTGGCCTTCGGAGAAGGCGCAGAGACAGGAACTGGAGGCGGGCTGGCTGGCGTCGCTTCCTTCGTCTTGCCCTTCTGCGAGAGCTTCTCCAGCTTGGTGGCGGCTTTTGGTGCTTTTGGCGGCGGCGGCTTAACTTCAGGCTCTGCACCATTGCCCCAGGGGTCGTCCCAGGCAGACGAGTCGGTCGAGTTCTCGTCGTCCAGACCCCACGCGCCGTCGGCGTCTTCATCGTCCTGAGCTTCTGACGTCTCCGGCGCTGTGGGCGAAGGCTGCGACGGCTCTGCTGGTGCGTCAAGGTCGATATCCATGTCGTCATCCAACCCCCAACCATCCTCATCCACTGCCGTAGCGCTCTCGTCGCCAAAGCCCCAAGCAACATCCTCCGGGGAAGCGTGCCGCGGCGGTGGCGAGGTCGACACGTTATTGTGCTCTGGTACAAATTCAGGCACAGAAGTGTCCCGTTGCGACTGCTCTTCCCGAACTACAGCCATCTCCGCACGGAAAGACGAACTGTCGTCTTCGTTCCAAATAATGATCGCCCTCGCTCGTTCCAGAATGTCAATACGCCTCTTCTTCTCGTAATGTGTACCGACGGAACCTGCCCATGTCTTCACTTCATGACCTCCGGTTGCATCGCCTAGCATCCCACGAATATAATCGTCTTCAAACCCAACAGCATGCAGCACCACGTCCAGGAACACAGGCAGCTCCTTCAGTGTGGAGGGTAATGAGGGTATTAGGAATTTATCGAGAAGGGCGCGTGTTAGAGGTTTGCTAAGGGAGATCGGGAATGCCGCCGTAGAAGGCAGGTGGGGGAACAAGTGTTCGTCCAGAAACGACAGGACAGTAGTGACATTGACGATGCGATTCTTGAGGTTTTCGTGCTCTCGAGGAGCAGGAAATATTGACAGTCTGTGTTCCACGGCGCCGGACAGCGACGGGACGGTGGACAGCTCGACAGCCGCGGCTTGACTGAGCAAGAAGTCGATATAGTGCGCTGAGATGTTCCGCCGAAGTGTTGTCATGAGCGAAGACAAGTTTGTCGATGAAAGTGACGACAGAACGGATGGTAGCGAAAGGACGGTCTCCGAAGCTCTCACTAGCCGACGGTGAGAACGTGAATACGACGGTAGACTACAGACACACCTTGCACTGACCGACGGATCACGATTTCGGAAGCATTTACAATGACACTGCGTGAATATGCCTCGTTGAGCTGCTCATCAGCCTTGTCCTTCATGGCACGGAACCTGCGCTGCTCGAGCCAAATAAGCTGCATCCTACCCGATACCACGTTTTAGACGCACCTGCAGGTCGGCGTAGACGTCCGCACCAATTAGCGAAGGTTGATGCTGCGCGAGCAGGTGCTCAATATCTCTGTACCTCTTCACCGCCTCGGGTAATCTCCCCCCTTCTACAAGCGTAGCTAGATTTTGCATCTCCAGCTTACACCGCGCCAGATACTCCAACGCATCACTCATAGCTTCTGCATCTGCCGCTTCTTGCGCAAGTGCCGCATGACGTGTTAGTGTGTTGACGAGTGTGGGCACGAGCCCTGTCTTGACTCGGCCTTAGAGCCGCAATGAGGAGAGGTGGAGGAGGGACTGACGCACCTGAGGATTCGACAGCGCGTTCTGCAGGCCGTCAACATTCGCCGTGAGTGTGTGCAGCCGTTCTTGTACCGACTTCGCCGATGCGAGCTGTTTTTCAAATGCGGGGAAGTCTGTTTGCACGCGTTCGTGTATTCGATCCTGGACGTGTGCATTAGTCGTACGTCCGATATGTGCGCTTTGAGACGTACCTTCGTTTGACGAATCGCGACATCCAGCTCCGCCACCCACGTCGAGGAGAGATTATGTGTAAGAGCTTTCGGCGAGGTCTCGGATATCTTCGAGAGCACAGTGGTCGAGACATCGAGGTCCTTCTTCCGAGGTAAATGGGTCGGTACATGGAAGGCCATGCTGTGAATTCCCCAGCTTCACGTAAGTAGAGAAAAAATCGGAGAGTATTATTCAACGTAGGTAAACCAGCAATAAAGCCGACATGGGGGAGGGTGCCCTGCGCGTCGAAGTCGTGGACGTGTCCAGGGTAGGTGAAGCGCCCGATGACGGAGCGCCTCGAATATCTGGGGGCATTTTCCGTAGGTTTCTCACCATTTTTCTCGAGTTCATGGTCTCTTGCAACCAGCACATTCTGAGTATTTTCCGATAACTCGGTGGTCGTTCCAGCGTAGTGTCGATTCACGCACCCTTGGTATCTGTCTCCACCCTACTGAGCTGAGTCGCGGCCTTGACTGGCCGCGAATCTATAACGGCGACTCGGACTTGGAGACCCGAAAGACAAGGTATTGCATCTAGATACAGATGCACCCTTTGGATTGGACACGATACCATCTATCTAACATTCGCACTCACGGGTCGGTGTGGCGCTCGCAAAGCAAGATACCCATTTATGGCTCCGGGATGGTGCGCCAGCGTTGTGGCGCTCACTCGAATGTACGGTGCAACCTCTTCTTCCAAACCACTCGTCAACCACTGTATGAACATTACCGCTTATTCTCAGTAGACGTATATGGTCAATGTGAGCTGACTCGTCTATAAGGCTTGGTAATCCGCGTATCACACGCCTCGCAGCTTGGCAAATCAATCCTGCGATCAGGCCGGCATGTTATGCTGCTAGTCATAGCGGATGATGGACACATGTTCCTCGCGTAGATTACTTGCGAAAAGCTTGGCACGACTCGTTCTATTGGCAGCCGTGTTTTCTCTGCAGGCTCGAGTCACAAGGTTGGTAAGCAGTTTGGCTGAGTCAGTACAGACGCGGTAGCCACTAGAGCAGCTCTTCGGATGTTTCTGTGGCGGCGATATATCGCATGATTTGGCGAACGAACAATGTGGAGAACGTCGGCAAGGAGTTAACACGACGTCTCTGACCGTCGTTCTGAAGGTGCGCGGCGTTTCCTCCCACTTTCATTCAGAGCACTGATACTACTAGGGCAGGCAACGCAATGTATCGGAAAATCTAGAGAAGTTCGCTAGTTTTTCATGGTCTGCATATTTTACTGTTGCTTTCTGCGGTAGTAAAATCTACCGTCGTCCGCTAACCTCCTTTATATTGGTCAGCCACAATCCTTGTGCGCGTTCCAAGCAATGCTCTTGATTACACAAGATCTTGGCGACGCTGCAAACACATACGCGGTGATATCTCCACTCGGAAGAGGTGCTTATAGAGCATACCACCTATACTCTTGGTCATCACTGCTTCCCTACCTTTGGGGCCACTTATAAGGTCATCAAGACGGACGGAGACACCAACAGTGGGTTCCACATCCTCACAGCTTCGTCTTATTCACCTCTCGCACTTCGTACACACCAACCATGTCGTACGGCAGGCAGTTCACTCTCTTCAACCACAAGGGTGGCCCTAACGGATGGTATGTACCCCCGTCCGTATGTATGACACAGTGCGGTACTGACCGACCTCGTTTACAGGAAGGTTGCATTCATCTTCGAGGAGCTAGGCTTGACCTACGAGAACGTGTTCCCCGAAATAAACATGAGGGCACACAAGGGCCCCGAGGACCTTGTCAAGTACAACCCGAACGGTCGTATCCCTGCGCTCATCGACCACGGCAACAATGATTTCGTCATCTGGTAATTCCTCTACCCTCGTGTGGTGTTTATCCTGCTAAGACAGACGCGACAGGGAGTCCAATGCGATCATACAGTACATCGTCGACAAATATGATAAAGAGCGCAAGATCTCCTTCGCACCCGGCACGGAGGAGTACTACACCCAGCTCCAGTGGCTGTACTTCCAGGGCTCTGGCCAGGGTCCGTACTTCGGCCAACTGGTCTGGTTCATCCTCTACCATCCGGAGAAGCCGCAGAGCGTCCTCGACCGCTACACGAACGAGACCAAGCGTGTGCTCGGGGTCCTTGAGGGCGTGCTCTCGAAGCAGGAGTGGCTTGCCGGCAACAAGCTCACCATCGCGGACATCTCCTTCTTCACGTGAGCATCGTCTATCTCCGGTCGCAATACGCTGATACCGATCCATGCCGGTGCAGCTGGAACGAAATCATCGTTGCTAGTTTCCTCGAAAACTTTGACTTCGAGAACGAGTTCCCCGTCACCGCCAAGTGGCATAAGAGGATTCTCGAACGCCCCGCTATCAAGAAGATCTGGGATGAGCGTGCTAGGCTCTCCGCTCAGAAGTGAAGTTTACACGGGTGATTGCGTAGAAATAATCTCTGGATAGCTGGAATGCATTCCGAATGAGCGCACTACTAGCCGTGGCTCGCGAATACAAATCATACTGTTTGCTGCCTGTGATCGAGTTGGGACAGTCCACGGACTCCGCGCAGTCCGGCCCTCCGGATCTGGCCGGTCCAATCCGGTATGGTAGACATCGGAAGATCCCATCGAATCTGGCCTGGCCCTAGTCGATCGCAATCACCGAGCCGACCACTCAACTTTCTCAACAGACACCAATGCACTCGTCTCTCCTCGCTCGTCTCGCCCTCGCTTTCATCCAAATGTAAACCATGCACACGCCAAATTTGAATATGTAGCTCGCTGTCGGTGACACTTTCGCATAGGCCTGCCCTATACGCGTTCAAGTATCGAGGCCGGCACGCTTCACTCGCCGCTGGCCTCGCTGTCGCGTCATTCCCGCAGCTGTCTCCGCTTCCTAGCCCAAGGTGGATACAAAGTCAAGCGTGCAACGCACAGAACTCGTGCTACACCAAGATGTTGTCGTGGTAAGTCTCCTTGTCTACCGCCGCCCTGGTCACGGCCCAAGACTGCCTTACAGATCACCAACAGCCGATGGTCGCAATAGCCGCGTCCCTCTCGGCCTGCGCTCTCGCTACGGACCGCAGTCGCCAGACGGCGAGCTGAGATACCGACATGAGTCGTCAAGGCAGGGAATGTCTCACGGTATGGCGATCTCGAGGAGCGCGGTCAACGCTGAAGACGGGCTATGGACGGAGCGAGAGTGCTGGAGAAGAGGCATGTCCGCACCAGAGGTTTCCCAGCTCCATGATTATTTGATCTGTGCTGGGCCGTTGCCGCGGAGAGTGCGCTGGTCGGGAGCCTGCTCTCTGGAGATGAGGATTGTGCACTTTGGTTCTGCTCCGATGCCGACCTGGCCGCTTGTATCTATCTCTGCGCCGTCCTCAAGGCGAGACACCACCCCCGGCGATCAGATGAAGGCATGTGCACTCACATTCGAACTCACAAGCCTCTGAGAGGAGTACCGCACGGCCAACGTCACGAGTCTGCTCGGGGAGATGCACACGTCGAAGACGGTCGCGGGTAGCTCTACGGTGTCTGGACTATACCGCGCCCTACTACATGTACCTGGCTGCGAGTTACTCAACAGGATGTATCATGAATCGTATGCAGTGTGGTCTCTACACCTTTCAAAAGAGAGGAAACAAGACTGTATATCAAGCGAGCCGTCAGGGGGCCTAGCATAGTACTTCGATGCTTCTGTGGCGAGTCCAACCCCGTTGTCGCTGGCGGACGTCCGGCCGGTCCAGTCCGATATAGCCGCCCGCTGCATGGGCCCAAATCAGATAGGCGTTCAAAGATTCCATCAGATCTGGCGCCGTTTCGGCGGGCAGAAGCCGACCCGCGGATTGCGCGGACTGCGCGGACCGTCCTGACTCGCAACCACGAACAAAACCCATTTATGGCCCCAGGACAGTGCGCCAGCGTTGTGGCGTGGCACGCTCTCGAATGGTAGTGCTACTACGGTGCATGCACCAGACTTCTTCCAACTCATTCTTTAACTACCGCACGACTACTGCTTTATGCGCAGTAGACGCATAGTATATATAGATGATGCGAGCCGATTCGTCTCGAAGGCTTGGTAAGTAATCCACGCACCACTGCGCGCCTCGCACTTTGGCAAATCAAATCCTGCGACCTCGTCGGCATGTCATGCTCCTAGTCGCAGCTTGCTAATGACACATGTTCATGGTTCTGTCGCAGATGGCTCGCACAAATCCTGGCTCTATCTGGCAGCTATGTCTTCTCTGCAAATTCAAAGTCACAGCACTGGTAAGCTGTTTCAGTTGGTGAGTCAGGTAACTGCTGGAGCAGCTCCTCGGATCTCTCTATGGCGGCGATACATCGCATGTCAGGAGAACTTACAATACAGAGAGCGTCGGCAGAGAGCGTCGGCAAAGAGCCGACACGACGTTTCTGATCATCGGTCTGGAGGTGGAGCAACGTTTACTCCCACTTCAATTGGGAATACTAATGTTTTGCTGGTATTTCAGGCTTTCCCTTCGGTGAGAGCTGAGAGTGCCCGGAACGCTTCTGAGCATCGTTACCATCAATATGGCTGAGACCCCCTTGCGCTGCAGTCAGGCAGGGGCACAAAAATATATCTCCTGAATGTGGCAATTAGTTATGATGGGAAAGTCAGCGTCAGAGCTGCAGCAACGAAGTGGGACCCGCAGGAGTACGGGTGTGACACGGCAAGTGCAACGCGTACATGACTGCAATTTGACGAGCAGAGTCTCGCTCTGACATGGACGGCAACGAAAACGCTGCGGTTAGGGAAAATGGGTTCTCCTTCTCTTTTCTCCTCTACTAGTATGCACAGATGCAAGAAAAGCAAGAAGCCGTCGAGCTACTTGGCTGCTAGGACTGCCTTGGCCAGCATCGACCATGCCCACGGCTCCATCTTCGACATTGTTTGGACACTTTCGATGCAGCGACACGACACGCAGAGATGACACATGACGAGCCCGTGACAAAAGTGCGTCCGTAACCCTATTTTAAGGGTACTCTACAGAACGGTAACCCTAGATTAGTACAACTCCTTGCTATATATCGATCGGCACGGTCCGAACAATTATCCTTCCGTTGCTGTGCTCGCAAGCCCTCGGAGGGTCCAAATTCGACTTCTCCTGCTGTCCGCGGTAGTCAGCTTTAATATCGTCCACTAATCCCTCGGTAATTTTTATGTTGGTCATCCTCAGTCCCTGCATGCATTCTGGAATCTGTACAGGGCTCTTGCTTACACAGGATCTTAGGCGACGCTGCACGCACACACGCAGTGATACTATCTCCACTTGGAAGAGGTGCTTATAGAGCGTACCACCTATGCTCCTGGTCATCACGTGCATTGTCCCCCTGCCTCCTGAGCTGCTTATAAGGGCCATCGAAGCGGACAGAGACACCAGCAGCCAGTTCCACATCCTCACGGCCTCCTCTTCCTCACTTCTCGCACTTCATACATACCCAACATGTCGCACGGCAAGCAGTTCACTCTCTTCAGCCTTAAGCCTGGCCCGAACGGATGGCATGTACCCTCTGCGCACACGATGCGACGCTGTACTAACCTCCCTCGTTTACAGGAAGGTCGCCTTCATCCTCGAAGAGCTCGGCCTGACCTACGAGAACGTGTTTCCCAACTTAGACGTTACAGCGCATCAGGGCCCTGAGGACCTCGTCAAATACAACCCGAACGGTCGTATCCCTGCGCTCATCGACCACGGCAACAACGACTTCGTCATCTGGTAAGTCCTCTACCCTCGTGTAGTGTTTGTTGTTGCTAATCCAGACACGACAGGGAGTCCGGTGCGATCAACCAGTACATCGTCGACAGGTACGACAAGGAGCGCAAGATCTCTCTCGCACCCGGCACAGAGGAGTACTACACCCAACTTCAGTGGCTGTACTTCCAGGCTTCCGGCCAGGGTCCGTACTTCGGCCAGCTGGTCTGGTTCGCCGCCTACCACCCGGAGAAGCCGCAGAGCGTCCTCGACCGCTACACGAACGAGATCAAGCGTGTGTTCGGCGTCCTTGAGGGCGTGCTCTCGAAGCAAGAGTGGCTTGTCGGCAACAAGCCCACCGTCGCAGACATCTCCTTCTGCAGGTGAGCATTGTTTAATCTTGGTCTCGAAGCGCTGGTACTTACCCGCGACGGTGCAGCTGGAACGAGATCATCACTACCACTGTCCTCCAGAACTTTAACTTCGAGAAGGAGTTCCCCGTCACTGCCAAGTGGCACAAGAAGATTCTCGCGCGCCCTGCCATCAAGAAGGTTTGGGACGAGCGCGCCAAGCTGCTTGCTCAGGGGTAAAGTTCGCACGGGTTGTTGCGTAGTATACTCTTCGGAAAGTCAGAATGCACTGGATATAAACGCACTTTCAGTCGTGGCTCGTAGATGAAAACCACACTTTTGCTGTCTGGAATCGATAATCTGAGCAAGGACTTGAATTGATCTGGGATAAGTACGAAAGCTACGTACAAAGAGCAGCAAGTGCCTGGTGTCGGTGTGCTTTAGCTTACCGGTTCGGCATCAGTGAGCCGTCTTCCAGCTCCCTTTTCCGGGAATCCACACCCACTGGAGCGTTCGAGAATGCAGCTGATCTTCATGACGTTATGCAGCTAAGCTTCGTTGCCCCGACAAAGATGGGGCTGCCTCGTCGTCAACCGGCGCGGAGATAATTGCTCGCTATTGAGACCGATCACCCTGTGCATGTGTGGTACAGGTATATAGTTGAAAAAAGAAGACGCCTTGTAGAACTGTGCACCCAATTCTTACAAGAAGTCTGTTCATGCGAAAGCTCCATCGTAAAAAATGCTCAGCGTTTGAAGCACAAATCTTGTGCGACCTAGTACGTCGGCCGCCCATGGCTGCCTTTTATACCGCCGCATGCCCCCGATGGACCACAAACCCCTGTTACTTCCGCTTACCCTCCAGATGCTTCAGCTAAGGCACTGCGCTAGCCGCCGGTATCCGAGCAGGCGGTGTTTGATTTGGCCACGGACTTGATAGCTAAGCGCTAAAGCCTTATATAAATACATATTTTCTGGGACGTTTCTGCGCTAAGAACGAGAAATCTGCAATCGCGGCCAAAGTGAGCACCAGCCACAAAGACAGCCTTCACGAAAATAGCCTGCACGAAAACCGCTGTCAGGATCACATCTATCGCGGAGGGAAACGAAGCTGTCTCTTGTATTTCATATAATTACCGACTATAAGAATTTCTAGTTTGTATGTCTCCTCGTTTAACTATGATACATCCTTTGGTTCTTCCTTGATTTCAGCCATTTGCTTATGTGATAACAGTGGGCTTCTCGCGGCCGAGGAACTCCTTGAGCTTGCTAATCTCGAGCGCAACCTCGATGAGGCCCTTGAGGCCCTCCGCGGTATCACGGCCGAGCTCCACTGCGCCCGCGCTGGGCGCGACGTAGCGCTCAACGTACATGCGCACGGTCGCGCCCTGCGAGCCGGTGCCCGAGAGGCGGAAGACGACGCGGGAGCCATCCTCGAAGCGGATTATTTGGCCCTGGTTCCTCGACACGCTCCCGTCAACGGGGTCCGTGTAGTCGAAGTTGAGCGTCTCGGCGACGGCGAAGGACTGGCCTGTGCTTTTCGACGCGTGCTGTGTGCTCTTGAGCGAGCCCTGGGTGATGTGCGCGTTGATGTTGTCAACGAGCTTCTGCGCGCCCTCGGAAGAGACCTCCTCATAGTCGTAACGCGAGAAGAAGGAGCGGCCGTAGACCTCGTAGTGCTTCTGGAGGAGCTCCTTGATGCCGACAAGCTGGCTGGGCGAGTCCCTGTTCGCGAATGCGAGGATGTTCAACCAGGCTGGGAAAGACGTTTAGAGGGGCATGTGGAGGCAATCACCAGAGTACGTACCAACGATGGCCCAGACGCCATCCTTCTCGCGAATGTGGTCAGAGCCGGTACCGAACGACTCTTCACCACAGATCGAAAGCTTGCCAGCATCCATGAGGTTACCGAAGAACTTCCAGCCTGTAGGTAGATGTCAACACCACATGCTTCGGGCGTAAAAGCAAAGCACGCACCAGTCGGCACCTCATAGCAGCTCAGGCCCTTCTTCTTTGCGACGTACTCGATCTGTTTGCTGGTGGGCATGGAACGCGCAACACCCTTGACACCGTTCTTGAAGTAGGGGATCGCCTCCTCGGCCCAGTCGGCGATGATTGCGACGCTGTCGCTCGGGGTGACGAACGCGCCCTTGCCGTAGATCATGTTCCGGTCGCCGTCGCCGTCGGACGCAGCGCCGAATGCGATATCATCCGCCTCAACGCGCTCGACGAGCTCGTGCGCGTACGTCAGGTTCGGATCTGGGTGTCCGCCGCCAAAGTCGGGCAGCGGCGTTGCGTTCTGCACCGACGACGCAGGCAGGCCGAGTTTGTCGACAAAGATCGCGCGCCCGTACGGGCCCGTCACGCCATGCATGCCGTCGAAGAGCACCTTGAACTTGGCTTGGTTCGCCTGCAGGAAGGACTTAATGAGCTTGAAGTCGAAGATCGCTTCCAGGAGCTCGACGTAGTCCTTGACTGAGTCGATGATCTCGACCTTGCTGGGGCCGAACTCGAAGTTGCCGAGCTTGGCGAGGTCGAGTGGAGGCAGATCGATGACCTTGTACGAGGAGATAGTCTTAGTCTTCTCGAAGATCTTGTCAGTGACGTTCTCTGGAGCGGGACCGCCATTCGAGACGTTGTACTTGATACCGAAGTCGTTGTCGGGACCACCAGGGTTGTGGCTAGCAGTCAAGAGTATACCGCCATATGCCTTGAACTTGCGAATGATGTTTGACGCGGCGGGGGTCGAGAGAATTGCGTTCTGGCCAATGATGAACTTGGCGACGCCGTTGGCAGAGCCGATCCGGAGGATGGTCTGGACGGTCTCAGGGGAGAAGAAACGACCGTCACCACCAATGACCAAAGTCTGGTCCTTGGCGTCGATAGAGTCGAATATGGCCTGGATGAAGTTCTCTGTATAGTGCTGGCGGGCTCGTCGCGTCAGACGGTCATCTCCCGCATCGCGCGTGATCGCGTACTTGCCTCCTGCTGAAACACCTTCACACGTTTTCTGAGACCAGACGTGCCCGGCTTCTGGCCATCGTAGGGCTTTGTGGAGATTTTCTTGACCTGGAACGACATCGTGATGATGGGATGGGGCAAGGAATGAAGTGGCGAGTGGGCTTAAATCCCGGTCGAATATCCAGGATGTGACGTCTACACAACGACAAATTCGGCTGATTATCTATAGCATACTTCTCCACGTTCGAGATCTAGCACGTTATCTACAGTAGATCTCCGAGAACAGTTGTGCGTCCGGCGAACGTTTCATGGCTACTGTACTGGACATGGTGTACACGTTTATTTCTTGCTCCGGTTCTACTTAGAGCTTTCCCCCTTGAGTGGATCCCCATCCTTTCTCTCCCTCGTTGCCAAATACCTCAGCAAAAGCATGCCCAACCTCTGGTAGCATATCTTGAGTAACTACACCTACGATGGGTATGATGTCAACGGGGAAATCGCGGCATAAGGTCGAGCCGCTCACCTCTGCCCTGCTTCGAGAACGCGTGCTTAGATGAGGTGCGAGTGACCATCGACCCTGCAGTCGCGGCAAGGAGAGGGATGCGCGATGAAGGAACAGAGCCATCCCTGTAGTAGATATATATATAAGCCTCCACCCGACACCGCTTGAAAGTTGTAATACCCGAATGCACCGTCCTCGAAGCACTTTCCCCACGCCAGAACGGTCCCGATCGTCCCTGACAAGATGTCGCCTTGTCCGCCACAGCGCTTCATGCCGCCAGAGACATCAACGACGATCTGCTCCTCCGTGTTCTCCGACGGGTCGACCTTGCTCTCGCGAGCATCTTCCGCAGATGCGCCTCCAGTGTTGGTCGCAATAATGTCTTCCTTGCCCTTCTGCAAAATGGTGACGCCGCTTAAAGCACGGGATACCCGCATGGCAAGCTCGTTCGACGGCGCCTTGGGGTCTATGTTCTACCGTATATGCTGTTAGATAGAACCCAGGCAGCATATACCGAGTTATACCAACCAGCTGTTCACTCAGTCTCTTGAATTCTACCACGTTTGGCGTGAGAATGGCTCGCCGATAACCCTTGATGAGAGCGGTGTCCTGGCCGACGAAGAGCAGCGCGTCCGCATCCAACACCAAGAACATACCCTGCGGAGAACTCAGTATTTTTGAGTCTCAGACCCATGACGGCACGACTTACCTTGTCCTTTGCCATGTTCACAGCCAGCTTAGCGAAATTTTGCATGTAAGGTTCACGCCCAAGGCCTGGTCCAACAATGAGGGCATGCAAGCGTGACAGAAGACTCTCCAGAGCGGGCTTTACTTCCTTCTCCGACCTGCACGAATGCGTCTCAAACGTATGCCTATGGTCATGCAAGTGTCGATACGTACTGGTCTTCCCGCAAAATCGGGTGTACGATGAGGTCAGGCGAATACGACTTGATGGCGCCAGCCGCGGTCGGAGAACAGATGACATGCGAAAGGTCTGCGCCCTGCCTGAAATGTTTATGACGGGGATTAGGTATTCAAAGCACGAGTACACGCACCATCCTCAGAGCTGACATCGACGCGAAGAACGGGGCTCCTGTGTAGCTATGACATAGTCAGCACTGTTGCGTCTCTGACTGAAAGGGTTATATGCGGGACGCACTCGAGTGCACCTCCTAACACACCAACCCGCCCACTCTGCCCCTTGTGCAACGAGCCGTTCAACGGCGGGATAAGAGTCTTGATCTGCTCGAGGATGCGCTTATCAATCGTCATCTTGCTGTCAACAGTCTCAAGATGTTGTGGATGTTTTCTGGTCAGGTCACGATATCGCGCAGCTCGAGTGAGTGCGGGAATTTGTGTGGTCGAGCCATGGCGGGAGCGCGAGAGCAGGGCTAGGGCCTATGACATCGTGAGTCTCCCACGCCTCCACCCAACGAAACTCATAGGCGCTTCTCTGCACGCCGTGATCGTTTTGGAAGCGAGGCAGCCGGATTTGGGGCGTGTTGTTCATGCGCGGGTATATCATGAAGATAACGCCGAACGTACCAAGCGGTTAGAGAAAAGAGATATGGTAAGTATCATAGCACAGATAGCGATCAAGCGCAAAGAGACCGTATGTTTATGCAGACAGCGTATGAGAGGTAGCAGATGGGGACCCGGGAAAGGAGACAACAAAACCACAAAAAACCCGATTGAAAACCCATATGAAGCGGTGGTCTTGAGAAAAACAGCAAGTCAGCAAGTTAGCATGGCAACTCATAATTTGTCGCAGCTACTCGCCTAATTGCTCCGTCTCGCACACGCACCAGAACACGCACCGACGCGCGCTCCAGGACATATCCCCGGGGCGCGCACACGCTCGGTATTCGGCGGGAGGAGTCCAGAGCACCTCTCTACAGGACGAGGGCCGACGGGGTGGATCTCCCACGCCTCCATAGCCGCGAGCGAGACTGCCATCTCCTCGCAGTATCTGCACAGCGCGCCGTGTAGGAGTGCCTCCTCCTTGCCGCATACATACACCTGGATGGTGTTTCTCCACTGGCACATCTCCTCTGGAGTATCGACGTAGTGAGATTTGAGCCTGAGTCGGCAAATATCTATGGGTGCGATGGAGGCTATGGGAGTGCGAGCTGGTGGAGCTAGTGACTAGATGGGGGAACGGTACGAAGCTGGACCGCGGTATAAATCTACGCAGGGATCAACGGCCCGTGAGGTCTCAGAAAACTGTAAGCTGGATACAGTATTGGAAGACTCCTATAGCCTAGAGCACCCCAGCTTTCTGCGTTCAGGGAAGGTACCGATGAACTGCCTTACACTCGTACATTTGGACCTGTAAGAAAGTGGCTGCGTCGCCCCGCGCCATGAAAGGTGGCTAGCATGGTGATGTCGGATTTATTCTCTGCCATACCAATGTAAGCAAGAAATCTAAGGCAATATATGCGCCTAACGCGAGAGAAAGCGATGCGCTAATGCCTGGAAGTTGGCGAGCTTCAAGGCCCGGGCATTGAATATGAAGGATGGGTCGCATTGTGGCCCGTTCAACTTCATGTCCACGGAGATTTTGTTCGAGCCGAGCTCCTCTGATATATGAATGCCCTGGGGTAACGAGGGTATAAGCTTGGATAATCAATGGGCAAAACATACGTATAACTAGGCGGTTACGCACGCACCTGGATACTGAACTTGTTTGTGAGCATGCTCAGGCACCCGGCGATTGGTCTACGCAAGTAGTGAGCGAGGGGTTAACTAGGACACTCAGCGGTGCTCTGAGCCAGATGTCTATCTGGACGCTTCGCATCTATCAACAAACTAGAGAGGAAGATGAGGAGGTCGTTATGTCCTAATTTCTCAAGACCTTGCAATGGACACTACGTCCCAGTTACCCCGCACGAATATCGGCAAGTTGCGGTTTTCCTAGTCCACGGTCTTCTAATCGAGCTTATTCGTTCCTGCTTCAGGCAGCTTGACTTGCAGCGCGGCGGATTGACCCGGGCGGTTATGGATCCAATGGTCGTACTATGGGGCGAAACGGCGTCGAAAGACGGCTCAATGAAATTTTTCTCTGTGATACAGAATTTGCATACTCCAGTTGTCAGAGATCCTAGACATTCGCAATATTGCTTTTGCTACGGGGTGACATGGCTGAGCACAAGCAAGCGCGTACCGCGAAATAAAAGCAGCCTATGGGCGTCTCGGCTCGTCCCCTGTTCTGGCCGGCGAGCCCAGCTTGCCTCTACCCTAACCTACTCGACATACCCTATTCCAAAAACACATGGACTTTCCTCTACCAGAGCGACGACGAGTCCAGACGACGTACGGTGCATTCCCTCAGTCGCGAGCTCCGCAGACGGAGGCGTCGCCGGAGAATCTGAAGGGCGTGAGCCTGGGTCGCCTCGCAGCTCTGCACCCTTTCACACAGCAGGAACGTCCGTAGTGCCTCCTGCAATTCCTCGTCGGCATGGCCCTGAAGGTTCTGGTTTACTAGCTTGATGTCGCGTTCCCTGCTTCCAATACTTTGAGAGGTTTGCTCTCCCAGCTGGCGACCCAGTACTACGAGCAATCCTGGAAGCTTGCCGAGTTCGCGGCCTTTGCGCAGCCCTATGTCCAAAAGTCTTCTGCTGAGAGGTGTGTAACGCATTGTTTATCTTGTCTATTCTTATAAGCATGCATTGAATTTAGCCTATCTTCGTTGCAGTGTCCTGATTGCCTTAGGGAAGCCCGGTCACCTCGATGACGACGTCTGGTGCCTCGATACGCGCGGAATACTTACCTTGGCGGTCTGCAAGACGTCATACGAACGACTTGGCCTGATTGGGCGAGCACTGCCATGGAAGGAGCACCAAGACGTATACAGTACGCCCTTTGAACCCTCATCACACTTCCCGCCTGACACTGCCTGAGTAGTCGTCCGCATATCGCTGCACACACAAGTTCCCGTACTTAAAGATGAAACGTGCCACGCTTACGGCCCCAAAGTCAAAGCCGCCTTCCAGGCCTGGGATCAGCGGCGGGACCCCTGGGACGTGATCTTCCACTCGCCTGAGCAGCTCACTGAGGCTTCAGCCGCAACCAAACGCGTGAAGCCAACCATTCGTCTATCACAGAACATCCACATCCCCAAATCTGAATTATACCCTCGCCCGAACGACGCTAGCGCCGCAGGGGAGTGGGACGAGAGCGTTGCTGAGCTCTTCGAGTGGGTCGGTCTCGCGTGTTTGGGCTCGGAGAGGTATGCTGCTTAACTTGCTTGTTGCTGTCTGACCTGACGCTTTCGTTTTCTGCAGGCTCCGAGCGTATGATAGACCGGACCCGTACATCGCGGTTTACACGCCGCCGTCGCCCGCGTACACAGGAGACGTCGTCCATGTGCGCTGGATGGGTTTACTTTCGCCTCAATTTGTGCAGTCGGTCATCGACATCGCTAGGCAAGTACCTACAGGCCTGCATCGCTCGTTCCGCGCTGATTGAGCGTGCCTGCGCAGCGACGCATCCTTCGCGTGCGTGGTTGCGAATTCCATAGCCGTGTCGCCCGTGACGTACGTCCCATCGCCGCCATCTTTGCGTTATCCTCAGCGCGCGTCGAGAGCCCAGTCAGAGGATAGTTGGAGCGTAGTCATCTCACGGCCGGAAGATTCAGATCAGACAAGCTGGCTACTCGTTGAGAGTATCGGAAAGTGGGACTCGCGATGGGGCTGATATTTGGTGGCAATTTTACCACTTGTATTCATGCAGCCGGACAACATAAGAGTTTTACAAACAATATACACATTGATAGACATTAGCGTACTGCAATACCAAGCTTACAGGAGCCGACGAAGGCTCAAGACATACAAAGGGATCGCGCCATCTCGCGAAGAGAGGCAGAGGGGTTCCAAAAATTGAACACACAGCAGAATCGGAGTAGTCTGAATCGAGTTACGCCGCTTGCCCGCATCGCCAACCCTCGAAGGACAGCGAGCAGCCAGCGGCGCGCCGCGAAGTGAACTAAAGGGCAGGAACAGTCACCAACACCACCACACAACCTCCCCCTCACACTCGTTGCTCCGTCCATAAGCTCACACAGATCCCGGAAGGCCGCCGGGCGTTACGGCGGTTTGGTGGTCCTTCCGAAAAGCTCTCGCTTTCCAAGTGCAGTTTTTCTCGCGCGTGGTGGCGCGGACACAGTGTCGGGAGACGGGTGAGCCTCGACCGACGAAGGTCCACAGTCCTTGCCAGGACTGGTTGGCATTCACGCTGATCAGCGCAGTACGGGGGGCACAGAGGGGGTGCTCTGGCTATCGATGAAGACAGTATACGCTACGCGCGGGTAAGCGCATAAGCGTTCGCAGTAGGTCCAGCAGTGAGGCGCCCGGACACCGGGCGGTCCAACACGTGTGATCCAAGGTGCATGGCTCTTTGCAAAGCACATGCTAAGCTGAGGTCTGTCGGGGCGTCCCCACAACAAGACAAACGGCAGCAGTGGCTGCTAGGCCAAACATGGCTGTAGGGCCAATGTCAACGCGATCGGTGATCACGTAGCCAGGCTTTTTCAGCTCCGGCTAAAGTCGTTTTCACGACTTTGCACTGCGGGAGTGCACGAGAGCGAAGACGGCGCCGCTAGCTGACGTGAGTCAGCCGCGCACGCCACTGTAAGGCCGCCGCACCCGACCCGCCGAAGCAGGCCGAGCGCAGTGACCCGCACTTCACTGGACGTGTCCCGACAGGGCTAGATCTGGCTTACTCTGGAGGACAATATGATGGTTGTCGAGTCGGAGCACACGGGGAAGCGCCTCTCCCCCGCGGCACTTGCGCACTATTGAATGTAAGGAAAAGAGGGTGTTACGTAGCTTTCCGACGATCCTGCCCCACTCCCACGACATTTTCCAAAGGCGTTCACCCTGCTATACTTCCCTCCCCTTCGTCGAAAGACGTAGATCTCCGGGTGTAAGCAGGGCGACCCTGCATCTCTGGTGTGCCGCTCCGTCTTGAAGACGAGCCCCGTTTAGGGGCAATTATAGGGAGTTTGAATACTCAGACCTTAGCCCGCTCGCGAATGAGGACGGCGGGGGCCGTCCTGTGCGGAACGAGCATCGCGGCTTCGAGTCTGCTATGTGGTTGAGAGGAAGAAAGGAAAGGCGCGGGCGGCAAATTTTATACCAAAAAATCGGAAGCTTGGGCGCTTGGCTGTCCGCAGAGCAGCCCACCATGGCACCATCCGTACCCCCAATCTTGACACCTCTCCCCCAGCTTCTGCTACCCTCTGTTCATGATCTATGCTCGATAAGTATATACCGAGTCTTCGAGTCTTATCCCGGAACTTCGTAATCAGACACAACATGGCCTCTAACACCAGCCTCCCATCGTCGGATATACCCTTATTCTCGACAATCGCAAGCTACAGGGATTGGCGCAGGAAGGCTTACGACGAAAAGAAATCAGTCGGATTCGTGGCGACGATGGGGGCACTGCACGAGGGACACACGTCACTAGGTATGCCTACGTGCTATTGCTGAGCGAACTTTAACAACGTGCTTATAGTGCGCAAGTCTTTGGCCGAGAACGACCTCACAGTCGTCTCGATCTTCGTGAACCCCGCACAGTTCGCACCTCATGTGTCTATATCTTCTCTAGCAAGGGCGCTCGCCTTGTCCGAAACGACAGAGCAGGCCTTGGCTATGCATTCGGCCTTGTTTGAGCCCGCTGCCCACGCCTTGCGACCTTCGGCGAACGCGGCATACAGAGTTGGCGCGGCGACTTCTCGCTCTTGGGGCGTCAGGTAGGTATTTCGAGACGACAGGGCGAGAAGAGTCATCGGGTCGCTAAGTATTGCGTCAGCAGGATACTAGCATAGTCAGTGAATCTCGCTTACCGAGCTGTGGGGACGATATGTACGTTCTCTGGAGTAGGATGCGACAGCAGCAGATCACGAGCCATTCGTCGGAGCAGAAACGCTTGCTGAATGTCTTTTTGGCCAAAATACGTCCGGGTAGGCTGAAGAAAATGTCGGCGCACAAAGAAACATATTGGAAGCGGATGATACACACCTCGATAACGTTGAAAAGCTTCGTCACGACAGTGGCCACGCCTCTGAAGAACGTCGGACGCGTCTTGCCTTCCATTTGGTGGCTGAAACCCTTGACCTCGACGAAAGTGCCCTTTTGCTCTGCGACGTTCTGTGAGATCCCTGCAGGGTACATCTCGTAGACTGTAGGCACGAAGACCGCCGAGGGCTTGTGCGTGCCGGACTCGGTCTCCATGGCAAGGGACTGCAGGACTTCGAGGTCATGAGGAAGAGTACGAGGATAGGTGGCAAGATCTTTGAAGCTTGATTATATTGAGATGAACGACCCTGAGTCGTTTGATGTGATTCCGGACAACGAAGACTGCGCCAGATGGGAGGTTGGTGTCATTGGCAGGCCGATCATTCTCAGTGGCGCGATGTGGGTAGGCAAGACGAGGTTAATCGATAACATCATCCTTGGCGATACGCAGTCATTGGGCATCCTTACCAGCTGACCTGTGTAATCCAAGCAAAAATGCAATAAAATTGATTTTGACAATCATGATTCGCCCGACTCTTTGTCTGATACGATAGAATACACGTTCACAGAGGTTGGAATGAGAATAAAGTCCTCGCATGTAGCGCGCACGATCTGCATCGACATTACTGGGGTGCGATTGAAGACGCGGGCAGACAGTACCGACCTTGGGGCCATCGACGTCGCGGAAAAACAGCTGCATCTGGTTCCGTGAGAGTGGCTTTTCGAAAGGAAGCGGAACCTTTCGAAATGGCAGTCGGGTGGTAACTTTCTCCGCGAAGACTGTAGTCTCGATGACCGTCTCGGTTCTTATAACAGAGTCATCTTCGTCGCCAGCCAGATCAGTGACAGGGCAGAAATCGAGGACGTGGTCTGGATAGATCGCCTTGAAGCCACAGACGATAGACTCGATCTCTTCGTGTAGCACTCGCGCCGACCGGGGACCCCATGCGCTCCAGGGGTAGCGCAGCGGAGAGCGCCGGTGACGGTCCTCGAGTACCGCTGGGGACAGAAACGTCGTGAGTAGCGTATAGACGGTGTACTGCAGGTCTACACGCAGCTGGACCAGCCGCAGAGTAGGGTGAAAGTCCATCGGCCCCGCCGCTATGGGCCCGGCGAGCTGACTGTGCTTCTGGTACCCAGGGAAGAACGTGCAGTTGAGCCAGCTGCTGAAGTCCCATTTGAGCCAGGGCAGCTGGAACGTCGCGATGAGCGTCGGGATCTCTTCGTCCGTGTGCAGCGCGTAGACGTGAATGCCGAACCCATGGCGCGCGTTGCGTTCGTATACATTCACGAGTAGGTGTCCGTCCGCGGTGCAGAACGCGGTCAGGTACGCCGTGTCAGGCGACGAGCGCAGGGCCTGCGAGCGCCAGTGAGCATGGTACTCGTGCGGCAGAGGTAAGCAGTAACTGACGGCCAGGATAGTCCCCGATGGCCAGTGCCACACGAAGATTGCCTCGACTGCGAGAGACTTCTGCACGGTGAACGCCAGGTATTCGCCCGAAACCTGGATCTTGGCCCGACGGACAAAGGACGCGGCAGGAAACCCGTACGATGCGAGGTCTATGAAGCTCTGTTTCGCCCGTGGGTGAGGTTTTTGGTCTTGGAGAGAGCACAGGTAGACCCTTGGAGATGGGCGCATGCCACTATGATGAGTATGTCAATCCATAGAGCGTGAGCAAAAAAACTCGACCCCCTTACGCAGCATCCAGCGTTTGACTCAGAGACGCTAGAACCACAAGATCCTGGCCGGGGTCGATATAGTGCACATCAAATCTAGTACCAAACTCGATATGCTTGATACGGTCTTGGTCGGATATTCCCCTTCCGAGGTAAACAAGCTCCAGTTGTTTCGGGAGATCTGGTACGCGGCCAGAAATGACATCCTTGTGTGATCTGGCCTCGATCCACTCTTGCGACGGTATTGTTATGGTCTTGACGTACTTGAGAAATAGATGTCTCCACGCATAACGCTCTCTCCGAATCGCCGCCAGGCGTGAGATGACGTTGCTGGAGGATGATCCATCCTCGTACCCCGCCATACCCAGTTCTATCTTGTATTGCAGAGAAGTGGTCTCAATAATTACAGAGTCCATTTTGTGTGATACCTTCCAGAGAGATTAATCAGTACCTTCCTCCAGAGCGCGTAAGCAGAACAAGATACCCGGCGGCAGCTCAGCAAGTCGATGTAATCTAGGTATCCGAGGATTTCCACGATGACCTCCACGGAGAGTCTGTTTAGACCCCATTTCATGTCTGTAAGCAAAGCAAGTCACAGAGTGATAGTATTCGTGTAATCGAAAGTCGTGTGTACCCGGGGACCTGTGAAGATTCTCGGTGCCGATGGTAGTGGTGTACTAACAAAAGGCACTGGCAGGCGCTCCGATATGGCTGCGCTGATGGCATCGAACGCCACAACGGGCGCCAGCGTGACTGAAGAGTGCTGAGGAGTGGGAGAAATTTTCGTTAAAGGTGAGCTATCGTACGTTGTACACAGTATTATGGGTATAATAATACATAAATGAGCATATTCAATGTATCATGAGATTTTTAGTCCAGAAAAAATCTAAAATTGATCCGCCGGCCAGCTGCTCGCCGGTCGACCACTGCTGAAGGCTGTGCCGTCGTTCAGCCTATGCAGCTACGTTATGACTGCCTCTTGGCCTTCTTGGCCTTTTCCAGCCTCTCTTGAACAACCCAGGCGACGGCACCCTCGGCCGCTTCGGCCGGACGGGTCTTGTAGGACATGAGGTAGCCCTGAAGGCTCGCCATCGAGAACTCGCGCTCCGGTATGGCATCGGCGAAAAGGTCAGCGAGCGCAACAATCTTACGCCGCGACGGCCGAGGGCCATCTGCGCGGTGTTTGTCGCCGACGTACAGCTTCTTCGGCACTTCGAGCGTCTCCGTAAGCGCGTCAGACCTACTCGTAGAGGACGTTGGCGAAGGCGGTGTGCTGCCTGTGCCGTACGCGGAATCGGTTTCATCTCCGTCGTCCTCGGCATTGCCCTTGGTTTCCGAGCCCTCGTCAGCGTCCTCGGCGGGAGCGGGCATGTAGAAGCATTTGAATAGCTCCCGGGCCTGGTATTGACTTGCAAGTTTGAACTCGACGTGGAGGTCCATCCGTCCGGGCCGACAGAGCGCGGAATCCAGTTTCGAGTAGCGGTTCGTGGTAGCATAGAGGATGCGACCTTCCTGCGCACCGACGCCATCAAGGGCGTTCAGGAGACCGCTGAGTGTCACGCGGCTGACAGGCGATGACACAGCAGCCCTGTCCCTTTCCCGTTCCCGATTGTGTGCGCCGCCTTCGCCGGAGCGGGCGTCGTCGTCGTCCTCCATTTCTCGTGTCAGGCCGTGATGAAACGCAGCATCGATGTCTTCCATGAGTGCTATGCAGCGCTCAGGGAGCTCGGACATGAGGGCGCCAAGAGCAGTGTCGTCCAAGCCTATACGCGCGAGCGATACGACGTAGACGTCTAAGCCCAGCTCACCAGCAAGGCTGTGAATCATGGACGTCTTTCCCGACCCCGGTGCGCCGTACTGCGGACAAGTCAGCCAAGGAACTGTGCACCAGGAGACTGCTGACTGACCAGCAGGTACCCTCTACGGAATGGAATTCCGCGCTCGGCGTACCAGTCTTTACTTTGCAGGAAGTCACGAGCGTCCTCAAGGAGGAGATCTTTCACTCCGGGATCCAACACAATGGACCGAAGAGGTCTCTTTGGCCGAGATGCGACGTTACGCCATGAACCGGATCTTTGAAGGGCAATCTATCAGAGCAATATCGACGAGCACGGACGATTACTCACGGTTCTGACACGTAGATCGATATCGTGTGCTCTTCAGCTGCCAGATACGCTTTCTTGGCTTCAAGAAGGAGTTCGTTCAGCACAGAATGGCTCCGTGCGAAGATGCTAGGATTGCGGTCAGCGTCATCATCTGAAATAGCGGTCACGAATGTGCCTGCACACCTGATCTCCAGTGTCTCCTTCGTGTGATATGCGCCTTCATTTACTTCGGACCTGGTCACGTTGATGTAGCGGCCCTTGTACCAAAGAGAATACGTCCGAGAAAATGAGGGTAAGTAGCTGATCCTGCGGCCAGCTATCTCATATTCATCTCCGGGTATCATGACCACCGGGGAGCTGACACCGAAAGTCCTTGTGCTGACGTTGATGAACCGGGCTTTATCTACCACATATGTCAGCAGACGGCATACAGAATGATAATGCCGGCTTACTCCATGTAGGCTGTTTGGACAACCAAAACAGCAACCAAGCTGAGCAGTGAGCACGCAATCAGCTTTCTATGCATAAAAGGGGGGAAGATGGATACATACTATAGGACACATCCATCTCCTCGAAGCACGCCGTTATCCAAAAAGACTCGATGAACGACGTCCACAGCTGCATACACATACGACGAGAAGTCTCGATTGCGCCACCGATGACAAGAAGTTTGAGCCAGTCGCGCAGAGCAGAGAAGGAGAGCAGGAAAGACAGGATGGTCGGCAAGTTCAGTGGCGACGCCACAGCTGTCAAAGACGAGTGGAGGGCGGTACCATTTTGCGCCACATCGACCGTCGTGTTGTCGAGATGGGATCCAGACATAAGTCCGGTTAATGCGGACTGAAGTAGCTGTAGAGGATCCATGCAGGCTGAGACAAGAAGGCGGGCGGCGAAATCCTAGGGCGGAGGGGGTCGACTACATATATAGGGCGACAAACTGGGCATGAGCGGCCTTTCGGTGCCGGATAAAGGTTAGATATGCTGCCCGTTGTTCAGCGTTGATATGTGGCCGCTTCGCGGTGGTCAACGGTGTCGGAGTTTAGTTTAGGGCTTTGTTATTGGTCGGGCGGGCCCAAAAGCCTGCGGCTAATGCCCCGATGTCCTGTCTACGGGAGGATAACGCACAAGCTTCTACCAAAATTGCGACACTCGAGGCTTGCGTGCGCAGCACATCAGCACTCACTAGAACCCTCCGAGTCATCGCTAGGCGGGTGGCTCAGTCACAACGCCACTTATGGAACCGGGAAGCAGCGGAAGTTTTCATCGCGGTGGCACCTCCGTCCGCACCCCTAGACGATGCGCTGCTCTGCGCAACCCTCGATGACTCCAGCCGCCGGGCGAGATGAACTGCCGGCAGTGCAATGACCAGTGCACAGCCCGGGTGCCTTGTGCCTACGCGGCATGCTGCTGAGGTACAGAAGCATTAGGAATACCCTCGGAGATTGCCTTGCCCATCGCAGAGGCTCCGCGGTGAGCTCGACTATGAACGGCGATCTTCTGCGCACCATAATGTTCATGCAGAAACACTCCGCAGTAACCGCGGCGTAACCCACATAGCTTGCTGCCTCGTCTTTAATCTCGGTTTATAGTAGCACAGATATAGTGCAAGCGCGGGGGCTGTAGGAACGAGCAGAGTTTTTAGCTTGTAACAACTTTCGCGATTTCCGAGCCCAGTACATCAACATGCGTTGCGGCGTGCCATCAGCGCATCAGCGCTTGGCAGCCACCGCTGCGCCGCCGTCATTCCGATCCGTCACGGTTGCTGGCGAACACGTTGTCACAAACCTTCCACGACCATGTTAGCCGCGATACCCGCTGAGCAAGACGTCCTGGAGAAACTTGCCGCCCTAGACGTTACATACGTACTTTGTAGGTCAAATTCATCAACTTGTGCCTCAACTTTGACGAGATTTTCTGCAGACGATGAAGCCTCCCACACGTCGCACATGTTGGCACTACTAACACTGAGCCCGATATTGCTGAACGTAAGCTCGCGGAGTTATCCTAAAGACATTTGAAAATAGCGACATTTAGCCAGCTTATTTGGCCCTGGCTGTGTACACTCGTGAATTGCTCTTCATCGAGATGTGGGCCGGCCAACTGCTCTGCGAAGCGTTCAATTGGGTCCTGAAGCACGTAATTCGGGAAGAGCGGCCCTACAGTAAGTTCCGCAGTACCTCTACACGTCATCGGCATAGGCGTCGGCCTCACTGCGCAGCCGGACGCGTCGGACGTGTCGGGTTCGGCGCTTGCACAGCCCCGCTCCGCAATGGCTTCGCTCACTGTCTATTCGCCAGAGCACATGGGTCCCGGATACGGCTTTCCTTCGTCGCATAGCCAATGGATGGGCTACTTTGCTGCGTTCCTACTCTGCCATCTCATGTACCGACACCGGTTCGTGCCCACTGGATCACTTCTTCTGGACAATATACGCAACCTCGTCGTCTATCTCGGCATCATCGCCTGGACAGCTGCTGTCGCGTTCTCTCGGTACGCCAAGCACGCCGTGTAACTGCGTACAACCCCTGCTGATTGAACAGCAAATCTGCACAGCTACGCATTGACGTATCATTCCACCCGCCAGGTACTGTGGGGCGTCGGCATCGGCGTTGTCTTTGGCACAGTGTTCTATCTTGTCGTTGAAGTCGTACCAGCTACTCGCCCAAAATCCCTTCCGGGACGCTTTCGCAACGCGGTGCTGAGCAATCCGGTGCTGACATGGTTCAGACTGCGGGACGGCTGGGCGGTTTACCCGGATGGTGGCACCGAGACGCAGTGGTTGACCTGGAAAGCCAGATGGGACGCTACACAACGGACAGCCACGTCTTCTGTGGGCAAAAAAGAAAAACGCCGATAGCTATCTGACGTGTCTCGATATTCCATCCGCTGTAGGGATGTCTGTCAGTCGCTAATGCTAGAGTTAACCCATGACGTCAGCAGATAGAGATATGGACTAGAGAGCCAAACGAGGGCTGAATGCATTGAAGTGGCAGTGCTACATGCGAACATGCAGAGCAGCGATCGTGGTGAAGTGGCTGCCCACACTAGCACTGGCAGGGACTACTAGGGTGATCGACGGAGAAGTATGCGGCTGAAATGCTCTGGTTCCTTGAGTTCTGCAGGACGTGCTCGCGTACATGATCTGTTTGCGTTGTACAGATAATAATCGCCGGTGTCTGGACAGACGTTGACCTCTTGCATGTTACCGCCTCGATACACTGTAGAGTACGTTATGACGCCAATGATGCTATCTCAGCCAGCTCCCATCAAAAACTTGAAGATAGTACAGGTGGTCTGCAGGTGCCGCTCGAATGTACAACATCGTCGGGTTCGCGAACAGCGAGAGCCAGAGATTAGGAATTCAGGAGCGCAGAGTGCGCAGAGTGGGATTACAACCACGAGAGATGGCGATTGGTATATCCCCAGCTTCACCTTCCGGCTACTAAAGAAGTGACCACTTCTATACGATTTTTTTTTGAGTTCGCACTTGGAGCTTGGAGCTCGGCCGTCGCAATCACGAGAAAAATTAAGATGTCTTTTTTGCTAAAAGAGGCATGAAAAGAGTTTAACAACATTTTCCGAAAATAGCTTTGCTCTTTCAGTGAAAAAGATGCAAAAAATCTCCAGCGGAAACAGTACCAAAAGAAGGAGCACTATTTTGGAAATATCCTTGGTGAAAAGGACATACATTTGTGAATGCAAAGAGAAACTTTTACGCCTATCCAGGCGGAAATCGATGCCCTAGGTTCATCTGTAAGCAGTGTAGATACTGCCATTACTCTTTACATTATAAATATATGGCTTTTTCTCTACGACACATTTCCAAAAATAATGCTCCTCTTTTTGGTATCATTTCCGCTGAAAGTATCTCACATCTTTTCCGCTGAAAGGGTCGTGCTATTTTTAAAAAAAAATTGTTAAGCTCTTTTCGTGCCTCTTTTAGCCGAAAAGACCTCGGAAATTTGGTGTGAAAGTTCCAAAATCTGCTTTAGTTGTTTGTTCAGCCTCGTGTCAGATCCGAAAGTAAACACAGCTCAGAACGAGAAATTCGTGCGCAAGCAGTCCATTGTTTCTCTAGTACCTGTAAAAGCAGGTAAACGACACGCGTGCATGTGTACGACAAACTCGAAGTCTAGTTATCTCAGGAGTCTCATCACCTCCGACTGCTATCAAAGCTAAAGGCTATGTAAGTTCCACATAATCAAAATGGCACACGTTTTGGGAGTAGAAATCGTGAACTGCGCGCGCCTTGTGACAAATGCCGAAACATGCCAGCCAATCTCCAGCTTCAGATCGCGCGACGCTTCCTATTAGACACAAGGCGCTGCTCGGATGTGTTAACAAGTACGTAGCAGTTGGGAAAGATTGAGCGTGAACGGCACTCGTTTGTGCAGTGAGTAGCCGGTAGAGGCGCTGGCCATGGGGAGAGAGAAGATTGATCAAGCAAGACACGAGCAGGCAGGCACGTCAACTGACCAAGCTCTTACTCTTTCCTCCACCATCATCGTTTGTCGTCAGGTCTTGTTCATCTTTCGAAATTTGCATCGCTGCCACATCGTGGAACGATGTTTTGTGGCCGAAAGCTCAGACGATCTGATGAAGGCCCGTATGTGTGTCACTGGCAGTGATGGCCTCATGTACGGCAAGCTTCCTTCGATCTGACACATGATTTAAGGGCCTACTGCAGTATCGATACTGCCTCGCATAGCCCCGAGAAGTTGGATTCATGAGGGATGCGAAACGAGCCCTTTCGCCGCTACGGCGGGGGTTTCTGGATACTCAGCCAAAGGTGCTCCCAGACCCCGTCGAGGACGCATACGCCGCGCTCTTGTCACGGAAAACGCTACCCAGAAGACAAAAGCAGTGACCAAGACGAGATGACATCCGGCGAGAGGACCACAAAAGCGACCCACTTTGGGAATGCGGAGAACCTAAACGTTAAAATAAGGAACGGAATATCATTCGGAAGTGCTATCGTCCGACCATTTAGGTACCATGTCACACAGCATACCATGCATTCTAAGGTGTCGTCTGACCCCGGCTTCGACGGTGGCAGAGATTGCGCAGATGTACAGTGAAGATACGCCGAGGTGGAGGCAGGAAACGCGGGGCGCTATTGGCTGGCTGGAAAATGGAAATCGCGGGAAATAGCGATGGTCGTGATCGTACCACCACCAGCCAGACCCTGGTTCAAAATCGTCTCATCCCCATTTTTCGTCATATAAATTGCAAACTGTCGCCAATCATTTCTCCCAACTTCCCTCTTTCGCTACAACCACTAGACATACCGACGACGATGACTATCCCCTTGAACGGCTCTGCGCACGATGCTGCTGTGCCTCCTCGTCCCAAGGATGTGGGCATCCTCGCGATGGAGATGTACTTCCCTAGAAGGGTGGGTTGCAACCGCTGCGCTTTGGAACCCATCGCTGACCGCCAGCACAGTGCATCTCGGAGGAGGAGCTCGAGGAGTTCGACGGCGTAGCGAAGGGCAAGTACACGATTGGTCTGGGCCAGAAGTACATGGCGTGCTGTGATGACCGCGAGGACATCAACTCGTTCCTCCTAACTGGTATGTCGCTTTGGTCTCCCCGCGTGACCCATCAGCTCAATTTCCGCAGCTGTCGCAAATCTTCTCGAGAAGTACGACATCGACCCCACCTCCATCGGCCGTATTGACGTTGGCACTGAGACCGCTATTGACCTCTCGAAGTCCAGCAAGACTTTTCTGATGGACCTCTTTGCTGCCGCTGACAACACCGACGTCGAGGGCGTCGACTCCAAAAACGCCTGCTATGGCTCGACTGCCGCCCTCTTCAATGCCGTCAACTGGGTCGAATCTACGTCATGGGATGGCCGCAACGCGCTCGTCGTCTGCGGTGACATTGCTATCTACGCTGAGGGTAGCGGCCGGCCGTCCGGCGGTGCCGGTGCCTGCGCCATGCTGATCGGTCCCAACGCGCCTCTGGCTCTTGAGCGTATGTGCAGCTCGTATGGCTATGGGAAAACTTTCTGATAGCGTTTGCAGCCATCCACGGTACGCATATGGTGCACGCGTACGACTTCTACAAGCCCAAGCTCGACTCCGAGTACCCCGAGGTCGACGGCCCGCTCTCGATCACTTCCTACATTTCCGCCGTCGATGCGTCCTACAATGCGTTCATCAAGAAGCACGCGAAGATGAAGAAGGTCGCCAGCCTGAATGGCAACGGCGTTGCGAACGGCGATGGCCCGGCGTTCTCACTCGAGAACGTCGACTACCCCGTCTTCCACAGCCCATACGGCAAGATGGTGCAGAAAGCGCACGCGCGCCTCGTCTGGAACGACTTCATGTCAAACCCCTCGCACCCCAAGTTTGCAAACGTACCCAACGCCGACGCGATTCTCGCGCAGCCGTACAAGGAGTCCCTGCTCGACAAGAGCCTCGAGAAGACATTTATGGCCGTCGCCAAGGCCGAGTTCGACTCGGCTGTCGAGCTCTCGATGAAGTGTGCGCGCCGCTGCGGCAACATGTACACTGCATCGCTTTACGGCGGTCTCGCGTCCCTCGTCTCGTCTATCGAACCTCAGGAGCTCCTCGGCAAGCGCATCTCGATGTTCGCGTACGGCTCCGGCATTGCGAGTTCGTTCTTCACCATCAAGGTCAAGGGCGACACCTCCGAGATGAAGCAGAACCTTGACCTCATTAGTCGCCTGGCCGCGATGAAAGTCGTCCCCTGCCAAGAGTACGTCGACTCGCTGAAGGTTAGTACCTACCACCCCCCGGCTGCTTCCCTCATTAACCCCCATCCGCAGCTCCGCGAAGAACACCACCTCTCAAAGACATGGCTTCCAAAGGGCTCCGTCGACAACATCTGGCCAGGTGGTTACCACCTTGAGGAGGTTGACGGCAAGTATCGCCGCAAGTACGGTCGCGTGCCCAAGGCATGAACCTTGTTTGCAATCGTCTCGCCTCCATTTTGCCATGCTATATACCATTCATCTGCTTTCACGCTATCTTACATGTTGCTTACATTCGGGGAAGTTTGCTGGACGACATTGTGATAATTGATAGATGCATACTTTGTACCACTAGCATATATATGCGAATAATGAAACTCCAAAACATCCAAGGATTGAAGCGTGCTCATCATCCTGAGGCCGCCCAGCGGGATACTGGGCGCTTCCGAGTTTGACTTCGACCATTATTAATTATTGTTAATAGCGCGCCGACACGCGCACACTCAGCAAAAGTGAGCTAGGGTCGCTTGCTTGCTCGAAGTTACCCGTGTCTAATCGTTTTGCGCTACGTTTTTCCAGGTAAAGCCTCTTTCGGTTTCCTTCGTCCCCTGACCATGGCGCCACCCAAGTCGAAGCCTAAGCCCGTGCAACACGCTTTCAACAAGCCTTCCGCAGACGTAATCCTGCGGTCCTCAGATAAAGTCAGCTTTCACGTGCACAAGCCTGTCTTGTCAGACGCGTCCTCGTTTTTCGAGACCATGTTCACACTTCCAGGGAACGCCTCCTCTTCTACATCTGCCGACGGACCATCCCCGCCAGTGATCCAGATGCGCCGAGATGCTGCACTTGCTGCTGGGAATCCTTTACCCTGGTAAGGGTCCTGCCATCTCCAGTGCTGTCAGAGCCGCCGACGTCCTGGCGATCGCAGACAAGTATGCCATGGACGGCGTGATCCAACACGTCAAGAACTTCCTCGAGTCGTCCAACTTCCTCGAGCTCGGGGTGTCCTCGGTCATGCGAGTCTACGCGATCGCGCGCCAGCACGACTTCACGAACCTCGCGGAACAGGCTGCGTGTGCGTCGCTCAAGCACCCACTGCTCAGCTACACGCTTACCGGGCTCAATAACATGACGGCGGCGCACTACCAGGACCTGATACGCTACCGACAGAGGTGCATCGAACTTATCGACCGCAAGACGGACGAAGACGGCAACAGAGAGTGGGACGACCCGATCAATGATATCTGGAACGAGGAAATGTACGAGAGGTTCGAGTCGAACTTCCCCGCGTCTGGCTTCCCAGAGACCGTCATCACGGGCCTGGATGACTGCATCGAATGCCGCGGGCGACTCTGGTTCCAGCTGCATTACCACCGGCTCAAGGAGGCTTTCTCGAAGCGCGTGTGCGGCGCATCGCTCAACGATCCCGGTATCCTTGACCAGACAGTCGCGAGCATAAAAGAGTGCTCGGATTACATGGAGCACGTCCCGATGGAACTTGTCGAGTTTAATAAGCGGCTTGGGGACATACTCGACCTGGAGCTGGAAGACGTGAGTAGTCGGCTCCTTCGCACGACTATCAATGGGCTCACTGCAGTCGTTAGATGAAATTCTGGAATTACGTGCGGGAGTAAATACCCACTTTCGCCAATCCGAGAGCTGGCTCTCAAGAGATCGCATCGACACAACTATAGGAAGATCAGGCTCTCTTGTATAGCATGCTGCTTCTGAAAAGTATACAGCATGGAGCTCTCATGTGGAGAGGTCCGTCTGTCTTCTCCAGGTATAGAAAGAAACCCAACTTCGTGCCCTACGGCGACCCCACCACGGGCGAGTCCTAATGCGTATCCATCGCAGTCATCTAGAAATATAGTATTTGTTAGATATATGTGAAAAACACTCATCATGCATGCTGCCGCGTTCTATTCGCGAAGAAACGTGGAGTGTAACTTTCATTGACCGAAACTGCGTACGACAATAGCAACAGTTTCCGGCTTGGACGAAAGAAATTCAGCTCACTATTTGGAGCTAAATTGAGCAAAAACTTGTCTGTTATAGTAACTCCAGTCACTCCAAATTTGTGTAGTTAGTTGCTTAATTTATTTTGATATGAAGGAGCCAGCCTAATCCGAGAAACGGCAATTGCAAGTGAACTCAACCACCAGTGCCGGGCAACGCGTGCAGTAAGAGTAGTTTTCCCAGGTTCTTCTCCTCTGCATACCTTATGGTGTATTGCTTTGTTTGCTCATGGTGCACGATATAGATCTCCGCGCTCGACATGAAAGAGTTCAAGCACTCGTTCAACAGACCGACCGCGGACGTCGTGCTGCGATCCTCGGACAACGTGGACTTCAAAGCTCACAAGGCGATCCTGGCCGAAGCATCCACAGTCTTTGAGACCATGTTCACTCTGCCTACGAATCCGTCGCAGGACGTAGACACGAGCGATGGACTGCCCGTGATTCAGATGCAGGAGTGCGCCGATGCCATACACGCGTTACTCGGAGTGCTCTATCCCGGGAAAGGCCCTGAAGTCACGGACGTCGACCGCGCTGGCGTCGTGCTGGCACTTGCCGATAAATACGCGATGGACGGCGTGACGAAGCACGTCCGGTCCTCACTGGAAGACTTCCTGGACTATGAATTCGGATTAAGTGCCCTCGGCGTGTGCGCGCTTGCTCGTCGGTATGGTTTCGTGGACCTTGTCGAGAGCGCTGCGCGCACGTGGCTGGAAAACCCGTTTCATTCCTACCAAACGTCCGGACTCCAGGTTATGACCAGCGTCGAGTACCATGACCTGCTATGCTTCCGCCAACATTGTGCAGATTTGATCGACAACTACATTCCGAACGACGACGAGTATTGTTGGGGCGAGTTCGTGCAGTCTGTATGGGATGACGAGGTCCTCGCGCGGTTCGAGAGCAATAGGAGCTTTGCCGACGCAGCAATCACGAAATTAGGCAGATGTACTGGAGGCAAGAACCACTGGTTTTGGTTTCAGCTTCACGTCCGCCGGCTCAAGGATGCCTACACGCGTAGGGTGTGCGGCAAGTCCTTGACCGACCGGGAGATTCTTGACAAGTCGATCGCCGGGATGGACTGCATGGAGTGTCTTCCTCAGCTCCCAATGGAATTCATGGAGTTTAACCAGAGGCTTGCAGCTATGCTGGACAAGGATATTAGGAAGGTGAGCGTAGGCAACACCATCTTTGATTATCATAACTCACGTGTTTGTCGCAGGTCAAATTCTCAGATTTTATATGAACCTGTCTGTGTAGATACAGCAACTCGAAACGCCCAAATCTGGCAGCTCTACTATCCGTCTAACCCTAATCTAATTTCTGCTACTGGCTAGCATATCAGAGCTGTCGTATGCGTGCCACCTGCACGGTTTGACAGGCGGGGCTGTACAGCCTGGGAACTTAGTTACATCCGTGAGTCTGAGGTTGTATCACAAGCTTGAGCGTCCCCAGCTCCCGTTATCTTCTACAATCACCAACGAAGGTACCAATTTGCAGCATTGTTCGCCACTGCGATCTAACCGTACTCCGCAGGTCATGGCTACTATCGTGGAAACGTCCATAGCGCAGCCTGTTACGGAGCTGGCGCTCTCCGACACATTCAACAGCGCGACCGCAGACCTTGTACTACGATCGAGCGACGGTATCGACTTCCGTGTTCATAGATCATTGCTCGCAATAGCCTCGAGTGTGTTTGAGGGCATGTGCAGCCTGCCGCAACCATCGACTTCGGACGAGAGGCAACAGCTCCCGCTGGTCCCAATGGAGGAAACCAGCCATACGCTGTACACGCTCCTTCTCCTTCTCTACCCAGACAAACATCCCCGAACATGACAATAACGGCGCTGCATCACGTCATGAAAGCTGCAGAGAAATACGACATGCATGGGATTGTCTCGCAGCTAGGCGGTTTCTTGCGTCGGTCGGATATTCTGTGCAAACATCCAGTCCAGGCCTTTTCCTTAGCATGCAAGTACAACCTGGGCAGCGACCTAGTGGAACGGGCCACTACCCCCAGAAGTGGAAGGGCTGCCAGCTAGCGCGTACCATAGCCTGCTGGTGTACCGCCAGAAGTGCATCAACATCCTGCAGCCGCTGCTTACAGTCTGGCCGCACCACGATATCACCCTCCCAAAGCCAGTATGGCACACCTGCATCTGCCGTCTGAAGGCGGCCGCCAACACAGACGCTACATTGCCGGAATGGTATGCGAACCACGTAGAGCGCACCTTGACGGCGTTCTCGAAAGCCGTTGACCCATCAACGGTGAGGTCGCCGTTTCTAATCGCTACCGCGCTGCAACAGCTCTCGTCTGCAATGACTGCTGCGACACTGGCTGCGAAAGGAAAGGTGAGATCCTCGTCGAACTGTGTTTGTGCCGAGACGGCGCCGTACGAACTGGTCAAGTTCCATGCGGTCGTTGCAAGCGAAGTTGAACGTCAGTTAGATCGGGTTTGTAACATCGTTTGCCGGACAAGCATGCAGTTGACATTTTCATAGATGAAGTTTCAGATGCTTGCGTCACGGTAATACAAGCTGACGGACGACAAGTAGATCGTGCAGTAAGTCCGAATCTGGTTCATTGTGGCTGTAGTGTGTGTGCATCAGTACGGATCTATGTGTGTATGTGTCGCCCTGCGATAGGACAAA